GCAAATACGAGAAATAAATATGTCTACCAATAGTGAAGTGTCCGATTTTATGTACTTTTTGGCAGTGAAAATTTAAGGCAGAATTAGTATCTACCAGTCTTTTATTTAAAAGCTGGTTTTATTAAATTTAAACCCAGTTAATTATTGAAAGCAATAAAGTTAAGAAAATCTACATGCGTCTGAGACAACTTTTTTTTTCTTTTACTCAAAACCAATCATTTCTGAATTAGAAATCTTTACGGTTTGTTATTTGCATTTTAACACGAACCTAAAAAATAAGTAATTACACTGTATAATGATCAGAAGACATACAAGTTTTCCAAAAAAGCTGGATATAGCATGTTACTAAGAGAACACTCATTAAAGTGCAATAATAAATTAATTTAATGACAAGGAGAAAATTTTTAAAAATTTTAATATTTAGGGAATTTTTCACAGTTTGCTTTTAACACTTAGGGGGACTGTGTTACCTTTTGGTTTTGTTAATGCACCTTTCGAAAACCATAGAAGTATGGATTTTTATAACGGCTGGTTTTTTCGTTAACGGTTGTTTAGTGTCTAGGAACTTAAAGTGAACAATAAGGAAGGTTGAGTGACCTAACTAAAAGATAATGAATAATTTAAGGTTAATATTAGACTTGAAAGGTGTTGTTTTGCCAGAACTTCAGTTAAAAAGTTAAGAAGAGAGCTCACAAATGTAGGTGTAAGAATATATGATAAAGATAAAGACAGACGTTTAAATATATACCGAGACCGAAAAATAAGAAGTTAAAAAGTTTTATATATGCACTGAATTTTAGGAATCATTATATTCTCAACCATGCCATCCTCAGGAATCCCTTAAAAAATTATGGAGAAAGGTTAAATTTAAATGGAACAGCGAGAAAGAGGCTGCAAAAATACCATATTACGGCTTTTAAATAGAAGTTTGTGCGTGGAGGATGTAAACAATAATTGCACGTTAATTTTTCAAACGAATGCAAGCGATGTCGGTATGGGGAAAGTTTTGTTTCAAGGGTTAATGGACGATTGCATTACAAAGAGTTTGTCAGTTCTAAGTGTATCGATGCACAGGAAAAGTATAATGTCACCGAGGGAGAGACTTTAGCAGTAGCGTGGTGCACAAACAAACTTAGGGGACTACATTAAACTTAATAGCAGGTCAATAGTGATTGAACTGAACATGAGAACCTCCTTCATATCTTTCGGAACGAACATGAGGCTATTATGGTGGCAGGAAAAAAATTTAACCGTGTTAAACATTAATATTTACTGGATTTTGGAATATTTTCAGGAAAAAACAACTTTATTGCCGATTTGATATATGCTTACCTGCTGAAGAGAACCTTACCAAACGTATAAACAGTTTGCCGAAGTGCTACGGTGGTACTTATAAATGATAAGATTCAAAAATGGAGACATAAACATCAAGAGTGATTTCAATTAGAAAAAAAGAAATTAGAACAGGTGATAAATCATAGAGGTTCACTATATTAATTTATATTCTGCCGTCTTTAATATGTGTTCTCCTAGTAACATGATAACCATTTTTTAGTATGTTGTACTCCAGTTGATAATTAGGTAAGTTTTAGTACCTAGCTCTTAGGTTGGTGTTAAAAGCAAACCGTGAAAGATGCCAGAAATGAATAGCTTTGGTATTTAGTAAAGATGTGAAAAAGTTTTTTTTCCTTTAACTTATGAATAAAATTTATAAAACTAGCGTTAGAAAGAAAGAACGGTAGATATCAATTGTGCCTTGAACTTCTCACGGCCAGAAAGTTTTTATAAAAGTTCCACGATCCACGGATTTATTGAAATTTGTATAGTACATTAGGCTTTATTAGAAGCAGACTTGTAGCCCAAGTGAGCACGGTCATATCTGGCGAAAAGTACCTCATCCCGTCCGATCTGAGAAGTCAAATCGCCACGAGCGTGGTTAGTACTGCGGTGGGTGACCACGCGGGAACACACGTACTGTGCTCTTCCTTTTTTCTTTTCCCTTCCTTTTTTTCCTGCTTTTCTTTACTTATCTTCGCTGTCATATGGCATAAAAAATTTCTTATAATTCTATGTTTATTACATAATTATGAAAAATTTAAGTTTCGATAGAAAATGAGAAGTTTTTATAAGCTTTGCTTTATTTTTCATAGTATCTACTGGCATGTGGATAGTCAAATGCGTTGGTGTTATAAATTAGTGTTTAACTAAAAAATTTAGTAAGACACGGACACTTCAAAACTGGAATGTTATAATTGTTGTTCTTATGAGCTAATGATTTATTATTATGATTTTTCGCCAAAATTGAATAAAAAAAAAAACTAAAGCTTTGTTAATGCAAGAGTTGCCAGGCCCACCTAAGTTACTGATAACACCTCGGGCGGTCCCCCTAATGGGTTTGCACCTTTCCCCAATATTAAAAAATGGACTTGTAGGTAATTTGTACCCAATTTGTACCGCCCGAGCTCAACAAAGGAACGACAAGTAGCTTGGTCCTCCGTGGGTTAAAACATTATTAAATGCAAAATTACAGTCGCGTAAAGTTCTTTTTTTTTCTTAAATCCACAAAAAACCCATAAAATCCGTTAAATAATATACTGGCCTAATAACCTTAGTAATGTGTACTAATATTATAGTTTTATCATGGCAGGGAGAAAAGAATTAAGAGCAATTAACCAAATAAGTATATTTTTTCGCTTTAATTTTGTTTTGGTTTTTGTTATTTCACAGAGAGTACGTCTTCGAGGACTTATATATTATAGACAGCAAAGTAATATAATATAGATGTAAGTATATTATACGCAATAAAGTAATATAGTACAAACAAGTCGAAGTACTAGAAAGCTCTATAAATTTATTTGGTTATTATAGGCTCCCAGACGCAGCAAACCCAACCGCGCAACAAAGAAAAAGGAAAAAATCTTTGCGTGTGCGCGCGCCAAACTAATGTAATCATACGTGCACTTACCTTGAACGCTACCTTCATACTATAAACATTTTTTAAAAGGGTTAAAAAGTACATACTTTCGTACGATAGTTGACCATAGGAATAACTAAAATAAGCATATTCTCATGATTTTTAAGCTATAGCACCCTCCACAAATACTTTTTGCTCTTTAATATGGATTCTAGCGGTGTAAAGGGACAGCCTAACTGTTGACTATTAATAATATATATTTAAACAATTAAATATTTGTCCCTATGTTGAAATGCTACTTTTAATTACCTACATTAGTACCACCTAAGTCGTAACAGACAAAATTTTTTTATGATTCTTTTTAACTTTGGTAATAGCAAAAACATAAATATATTATTTTAAAAAAAATGGAAACGAAAAAATAAATTAAGGAAAGTTCAATAAAGAAATGAGAGGGGGCGCCGGTTAAAAGTGAGAATTTAATATCTTAGAGTGACTACAATAGACCTTTGCTTCCTTTAGTAAATTTAAAAAATGAAGGCAAGAAGGAAGCGTATAAACTGCACCTCAGTAAACAATTAAAAATATAAAGATAACTCTATTAAGGTAGAATCATCGGCTTACTCGCTTACCATAGAAGTTAAAAAGTGAATTTTTTATATACTTTGTTAGTAGTATAATTTTATACTTTATCGTGTCAATAAACATCGAATTTTGAGTTCTTGAACATTAACAAGTTAACAGCGTAAAAATAAAATTTTGGCTAGTCTTTATCGACTTCTTGCATCCTTTAAACTTAACCCCCATCTTGACTAAAACCAAAAACTCTATGTGCACCACTGCATGTCTTGTAAGTGAGCTCTCCTGCCAAGTAATTGGTTAGCGGGTTTGGTTTGATGTTTGTAAGGGGAGATACCATTGCGTCGTGCACGATGTCCAGCGGGTTAGAGGTCTTGACGTAAAGCTGTGCACCGCACAAATTTAAGTGTACCCATCATAGCGCGCAACAGATTAGTAAATGAAGCGAGAATGCTCTTACTGAAAAGGTGTGGACTAGAGAGTCGAAGGATGCGTCATAATAGGCTAGATACACCACGCATTAGCCCCTCATTTCTCGCAATGAGAGCTTGTTCTTGGTGCAAAGGTACAATGCTCGAGTCACAACCTTGTAGTTTAATACAATACTCTCCACGTGTCGCAGCTTGCTGGTTATAGCGATTTCTTTTGCCATGAGATACCATGCGGTACAGCCCTCAAAGGTTCGTGGTAGTGGCTATCAAGCACGTCCTTCGCGGTAAGGTAGGCTTTGCTTTTACTAGCGTTATTAATAGTTATCCCCGCCACTTACTCCGTTTGGGAAGCGTAAGTGGAAAGTTGTACAGATTTTGGAACATATGGCGAGCGATTTTGACGAGGAGCAGTTTAAGGTCACCTAGACATCGTGTGTTTACTAGCATTATTACAGTCGCTGTTTTTTATCGCAACGGAAAATGGATTATTTTTGCTCCTGAAGAGGGTATATATATAGTGTATGTAGTTAGTAAGATGACCTTTAGATAATTTTCGAAGATTTCGCGGGTTGCTTATTTACTCTTTACTTTTAATTGGTTTCTGAGTACGTAAAACCATTAAGACCGAAAAAGTGTGAGACTGAAACCGCGAGATTGTGTTTACGCGTAAATGTTTTGATTAGTATAATCTGGATTATAACTTACTCCCGGCTGAGGATTTTTTCGTTTACTTATTTTGTTACATTTCATTTACCTTCGTTATTTGGGTAGCTAATAATAAATTAACTAATTTACAAGTATTTCTTTGTCTTAGCAACGTTGTCATAGCGATACAAGTGTCTTTACTTTATGCATTTGGTATAGGGCCTAGATATGCTGGTGCTGGGTGTAGTTTGCACAGTCACAAGGTGAATTACTGACTTAGGAGCCTTGTAAGGCACACGGTCTTCATTGCACCAACGCAACTTGTCTTGCACGACCGTAGATTGGGTGGCGCCTCTTCTTAAGCTGGCAAGCTTTATTTGATGATGACTTTAGCCAACGAATAGATTTACTTGCAAAACCTGAACGCTTAACTTGGAAATGCGAGCGTATTTTTTTGCGCATACCAGCGGATCAACAGTGCATTCAGGGGTTATACAATAAAGCTAATAGAAATTTTTAGTATACGATAATTTCCTTATATTATTATTTGTACAGTGGAAACTATTAGTTTATAGCAGTTTTTTGTTAAATATATTATTATATGTATAGAGTTTAAAAAATATTATTTATGATTTCCTCTCTTCGTTTACCGGATCCGGTGGGTGTAGTCGATCCTATAATATACACAGAGAACGAAAAAGTAACTCCTTTTTGCAAGCTATTGAGAGCCTTGATCACCTATAAGGTTTCATAAGGATGGACCTGATAATGTCTTTCTACGCAGTAATGGTCGCCATCAAGAGCAAGCTCGAAAATTACGTAAACTATGTCTCATAAAAAAGAGTTTATTGTTCCTTTTTGACCTTGATAGCGTGTTTATCTTAATTTAAAAAAATAGATTTAAAAATTGGGGTCATTAATGAAGCAAAAGGTTCTTGTTATGCAGAAATGGGACAAACAAAAGTTATTTGTGCAGTGTAAGTTATATTTTTGTTTCTTTAACAAGTTTTGCTACGTTATTTATATTATTAGCTCTCCTTGCAACATGTGTTAGACGATTTTATTATTTTGCTTCATTAAAAATTCTTTTTTAATCCTTTACACTTTTTATTTTATTCAAGCCTTATCAACTAAATAATTCCTCTGTTCTTTTCTAACTTTTTTTTTGAAAGCTTTTTTTTGTAAATAATTACTTGTAATGTATTGTTTTTGTCAGAACAATTGGTTAATTGAAACGAGTTGATATCTTTATTTTTTAATTTAAAAAAGATACACTCTTCTTTCATTCTCCATTTTTATTGTTATATATTACTAAACATCTTTATATGTAATTTATTATATTTTTAATATTTTTTATATATAATTAAAACGTCTATATCTACCAATAATTATAATCAATATAATTTGCTTTTAAACTTTATAATGAGCGAGTGTTTATTATAATTAATCTTTTCTTTTTTTTTATAAAAAATTTTTATGAAAAGTTTTGGCCCGCGCGAGTTAACTAAGAACGAATCTTACAGTGATGTTGGGAAACTTTCCTGCGAAGTATACTTTGCAAGTTCTTGCCGTCCGCAACAGAAGTCTATATTTAAAGTAATGCAAGAAATTATATCTTATTATTATAACATGGGAATTTTTGTTTTTAATTTTTTTTGGCTAAGATTTTGATTTCTCTGACGTCTTCATTAAAAATTTTGTATAGTAACTAATAACTTTTGCTAGACGGAAGAAGAAAAAGAGCTCGGAGATCTTTTTGAAAATGCATTATCTTTGAGTGTTCAATTGCATTTGTTTCCAAAATCAGTGATTGAAGTTAAAATAAACTTTATATATGACGATGGCTCTTTTATATCGACTGCTTTAACAAGGTTTAACAAATACACTAATGATCATATATATTATTATTTATTAATTGTCATGTAAAAAATTTAAATAATTAAGTGATTTTTAAAATATATACACAATTATTTAATTACTGTTAGTAATTTATATAATAAAATCCAGTGCGTCTGTTGCACTGGGCCAAGCGGGAATTCAGATGTACGATTTAATTTCTGCGAGTTCGGTCTCGTTAATATCCGGTCTTTTTGAGTTTTCTTATTTTATCTTTTTGTATCAAATACTTTTAATAATTATAAAACAGGCAGCATCTATGTTGATTGCGACAAAAAGGAAGAAGAGCGGCAGGATGGGGCCCTCATGATCGCTGTTATGCCAAACGTTAATAAAGTTGCTACCCTCCTTCAAACGGGATGTCTTTCCCAGGAAACTTTTTGCTGGTATATTTACAAAAATAAATTATAATAGTAGTATTTATAGTTTAAGATTTTATTATGAAAAATATAAGTTGTTTATGAAAATATGAATAGAGTGTAGGAAAAAGTAGACTAACGGTAAAGATATAAAGAAAAGTATATAAAAAAAATAAGAAAAATATTTTTTTTGTAAAACGTTAAACCGGAAAGGAAGGAAAGTAATAAAATAACCAAAAAAAGTTATAATAAACTAATTGTTAAAAAGTAAAGAAATATTGAACTGAAAAATTTAAATACTTGTTAACCAAGTAGAATGCCAACTTTTTTATGTAAACCCACAAAAGTAAAGAAGAGCGCGCCTATAGGAACATCTTTTTTTATTAAAGTAAAAACTTTTCAGTACTGTTTTTATAGTTTTCTGTAGAGAATGTCATAAAAGTTGAGTGAGAAAAGTTAGTAGTTTATTTAATAGTAAAGTAAAAAAATATTCCTAAAGTTAATTATTTTTATATGCTATTGAATAAGTTAAAACACTCGAGTATGTAGAACGGATGTTATATTTAAATATAGTTATAATATAAAAAGTTATTCTGATTGTTACTTTTATAAGTTAATTAATAAAAAAAAATCGTCTAACAATTTTTGCTTAATTGTCTTTGTGTATCCATGAGAATTGTCCTCACTCTAATTTATATAGAGGTACAATAATTATAATATTATTCATGCAGATGTACGAGAAAGCTCTTGATTTAAGCGCTCAAGTTTACACTGAAATGCAAGATGCTCTAAAAGGTTATATGATGACGCAGCAGCAATAAATATTAATATTTTCCTTTGGTTAGTAGTAATCAATAAATTTTCCCGCCAGCATCACTTTCTCTTTTGCTCCACTGCCTCCTTAGTAATTTACGGCGAATATTATATATGTTTACCGGTTTTTAGTTGAATCTACTTAGATCGGCAAGAATGCAGAATCCGTAAAAGTAGGATCTTTTTAAAGGCCTTTGAGTGAATATACTTTTTTGTTAGTACGCTGGTTCCAATTTTTATGGTCACAGTTAATTGTTAAATAGTAGACTACACAGCGTATCAGCGCTTTAATAATAAAAGTAAATAGGGTATCGTTACGTATAAGAAAAAGTAACCCGTAGCGTTATCTTAAGAAATAACCACTTCTCAAAAAATGACGTGTCTTTCTGAGATTTTCACAAAAGTTGAGGTCATTACAGCTAAGGAAATCATAAACTGACGTATAGGGTTATTACAAATAACAAGATAATAGAAAAATGTATTACAGTAGGAAAATCTGTACCTATAAAGCCTATATTGTGTAAAAAAACAATATGCTACTCAGTTAATAAGTTTTTGGAATATTCCCGAACGGTCAACCGGAAGCATTAAATACATTTTTATTACTGAGCAATTATTATATTAGTAGAGAATTCCAAAGGCGGTTCCAAAGTAGTCGAAGCTTCCTTACTGCTAAGCAAGTTAAAAGCAAGGGAGGACTGCAAAGTATGCTTAAGCGATGAACAATGCGACTGCTCACGAGGACAACAGTTTTACTTATTAGCTTAACTTTGGAATATAACAAACTTTTCTGTTTAATACTGTAGACTTTACTTTTATACTTTACATAAACAATAGGTTTATTTTATAGTTTTTATTAATACAAATAACTTTTTTAAATACAAAACGATATGTTACTTTACCAGGTTTCTGTATGCAATCTTCTTTCTTTTCTCATGCGACTCACGTATTCTTCGGCGCTCTTAAGTGTCATTGGACCAAAGAGCTGAATTACTTCCATTAAGGCGTTCATAACGTCTTCCGGCATTCTTCGAGCATTCCTGAAGTATACGATAGTAATTTTAATAATAATAATAATAATAGTACTAATATAACAACCCGCATATGTATACATAAGCGCCTCTGTTTATCAAGTTCCATATATATCGACCGTTTTCACGAATTTTGTGCTGAACGTAAACTTTTAATTCCTATTTTAATATTTAATAAAAGGTTAATGTTAATTGTAAAACTTGTAATGCTAATAAACGACTTTATAGAAAAAATCATGTAAGTAAATATCTATATTTTATAGTAGTAATGAAATATATACCTGATCGCGTGAAAAAGCAGTTATCACGTGCAGTTGACCATTATTAATATATTCTTCCCACTCCTCCCCAAAAAGGTAGTCCTGTGCTTTGTATCGGTTTCCAAATACCAGACAACCAGCTAAACATGATAGTAGTAATAATAATAATGACAATAATTCTAGTAATAAACAACTTTTATTAAACTCAAAAGACCGTTCCTCTATAAAGGCTCTAAAAGGAGCTACTCCCGTTCCTGTATTCATGAGTAACAGCCACATTCTAAAAGGTTATTGACCAGAGGAATACCAGGGCCAATCATTAGAAGTGTTGTAGAGTTATCTTCGGGTAGTCGAAGCGTGCCAGGTTCGACCCAACAGCACTCAACCTTAAACCCTACGACCAATAGAGACTGATAAAAAAAATATTCGCTTAATATATACCGCTTTCTAAAGACTTCATCCAATTGGTGCAGACACCCATTCTTGGCAACAAAAGACTCGTTTTATAACGCACAACTGCATAGCACACGTGAAGTTCACCCACATGCTTCTTCATAGAAGAACAAATGGAGAATGCACGCGGCTCCATCCATCCGAAAACATCAATAACGTATTCCAGCGGTATTCTGCGGCGAAGTGTGGGGAAGTCGCGAAGGACTTCTAACTTTGTTCTTCGGGGACGATGAGCATACGCATAGAGATCTTCCTATCCATTATAACTTTATTAAAATGGCTACACTTTTTCCAGTATTTAAGGATAACACCACGACATTTACAACGTTTTTCACTCATTAATCATAGTAATTGTTTAGGTTTATGGTAAACCCCCCAACGTGCATTCAGCTACTATTTACTTATCTAACTGTTTCGCTGGCCGTAATAAAAAACAAAAAAATTTTAAAATGATATTAGTTTCTCTATGCCTTTCGCGTAATATCCTTGTGAAATACTGTTATATTTTCCGATGGCTACATACGCCTATAACTCTGCCTTATACATTTAAGTTCATAACAATAAAATAGAAAAAAGGGGCTATCGTAATATATAAGATAACATAGATTCGTACAGATTACGTTTAATTGACGAGCAATTAATATTCTTATAATAAATTATGTATAACCGTCATTTTCATATATTAGTAAAAAACTCTTGGTAGTCACATATAAAAGGTAATATACGTTATAGAAAGTAAAACAAATATCGTATAATGATAAAGCCGCTCACGAGGTTTGCAGGAAGCGAAAGTTCCAAAAGCTTTTCGCGTTCGTGTGACGCCGTGGCAAAGTGAGAAAGAAGTTCAAAAAAATATCGAGTGGGCCTCCCGCTTCGTCAGTATTATTATGTAATTATTATTGTTATAAAAGATAACAAAACTTGAAATCCAAATATTTTGTAAAAAGATCCCTAATAGTGCATAACGTAGGACTTTTCCTTGGAGAAGAAAAAGTTACTCTGTTATTTGCATTGATCCCTATATAATAACGTTTAATAATTAATAATAATAATAATAATACTAATAATAATAATAATAATAATAATAAACCCAAAAAGTCGATAAGATAATCAACACTCTCCATAGAATTTTCTGGTTGAACCAATAGCAGATCGCCAGGAGTATAGCTTAAAGTCTCTGGAATACTGAATACTATTTTACGAACCTTTCATTATTATTTATTAAAAAAATTCGCAGAGAGAAATAATAAGGAAACCTCTTGGAAGTGGTGTTCTTTCGTTGTCCTTTCGTTTGATACAACGTTAACCGAAAAAGTAGCTTGCGCTTCGTACCATTAATAATAATAATAACAATAATAACGGTAACAACAATAATAATAATAATAATTAAACATTACCGTTAACAAAATTTTCACTTTTAAGAAATAAATTCTGTTATAGATAATTTAAAATATATATAAGCAAAAAATGCCTACATTAGCGCAAACAGTAATAGAAAGCTAAAAGAAATGCAACGAATAATAAGAGAACAATGGCGAATCTCTATTTAACAAAAAAAATTCAAAAAAAAGACGTCACTTCAAAGACCAGTAAAAGGACATAAAATTTAAATTAAAAAATAAATTCCAATACTGAAAAGTTATTGGGTAACTCGACATCTTCAGTTAACGCTGTTAATTTCGTAAATGGCTCCATCCTATAATAAAAGCCCAACGATATTAAACGACAAAACATGTATAAGACCGTCGAAATGCAAAAAAGAAAAAAAAAGCAACAAAAACTCCAAAAAAAAATTATCTTTTAACCTAAAATAAATTAAAAGCCCACTAGAGTTCTAACAAATCCTTTAATAAATTATGTGTAAAGTACAAAATATCAGGCTCCATTGGTTGTGAGCCGTGTGGTGGCGGAAACGACAGGTGGAGGGCTTTCAAAACTCCGTCCATCCAAGGCATCAAAGCACCATAAAAACTTTATAGCATATAGAGTTAAAAAATACCAAAAATTTCAAACAAAAAAAATTAATAAAAATAATAGAGAAGAGTATAACTAAACTATTTAGTATAATTTGATTATAACAAATACAATAATTATTTTATATAGTAATAAGTGAAAGTTTGTAAGTTAGTATAACCAAAGAAACACATACAAAGTTGTTATAATTTATAAATTTAAAGTAAAATTTAATAAAGTAAATAAAAAAGTAAAAGAAATAAAAATATTATAACAAAAACATTAATGAAAGTGACCCGTTATAATTTTGATCATCACCAAGGCCCCTTTGAATAAATTTCGTGAGCTCCCAACTGTAGAAGCCGGTTTCTTAAACGTTTAGCAACATAATTATAACTTTATGGAAAAATTCAATAAATAGAAAAAGTTTTTATCTGAATTAAATCTTTAACAAAAAAGGTTATTTAGAGCTGTAAAAACTAATATATGTATGTTAGTTACAATATAAAAAATTTAAGGAAGAGAAAATACAAAGCTAATACCACTTATAAGAGGAATCTCCAAGCCCAAAGACCGAAAAGTGAAGAGTACTAAGGTAATCTTTGGATAAGTTTGCTCGAAGTAAATATTTCCAAAACTTCTATGTATGAAAGAAAATTTAGATTTCTTTTTTTATTTTATTTTAAAGATAATATGGTTACGGTCATATTGCGAGGTTCTTGGCCTTGACCTGCGGTTGAAACCACAAAAAGGGCCAACTTTACCCGTAAAAGTTTTTCCTTAAAAGTTTTTTTAAGTGCTTATAAAATAAAAGATTTCAAAAAAAAATTATTATACTTACGACACTGAACTCGTGCAAACCATAAATACAAACATCATACGAATTTCGCTTCCCAAATCTACCAATCTCGTAGGCAACCTCTCGAGCAGTCCCAGTTTGCGAGCCATACAAAATTAATAGATTTGTGCAAAAAGAATTTTCTAAGTTTATCATAGAAAGCTCAATAATCGAAGCCAAAAAGTACCACCGTGGCTAAGATCAGTACGTTGGTTCAAAAGGTTCGTGACCCAAAACCTAACCGCTTGCAAATGCAGTGGGACTACAAAGATACTTTTCTAATAATAAGCCTCTTTGTAGGAGTATTAATTCCTGTTAGCACATGACCACCACATTTCCCTAAAGCTAGCTGATAAGCGCAGAAAATGCGCTTATTATAGGAGTAGAGGTCGACGTGCTTGAAATGCGTAACATACTTTTTAACCTTGCAGAAACATATGTAGACGATAATCACAGTGGTAAAAGACTTGTTAGTAATTTTTTTGTTCCTAAATAAGTAAAAGGAGCGTTGATGGCAATTAATTTGTCAATTAACTTAAAAATATTATGGTTAACAGCTATATATGCGTTAGTGTTATAACTCATATGCTTTACTGAAAAAAATATTTCGTAAAGAAGTAACACTTCTATTAAAAAGAGGAAATTTTGTCATATTATCGGTTAATAGCCTAATCAAAGAGAATACAAACCAAGAGCCGTCAAGAAAGTAGGTCGAATAGGATAAAGTACTTCGCGTCGTATTACTAATAATTTTTTTGGTATTTGAGGATTGCTTCACCTCACAATCCTTTCATAGTTTGTTTAACAAAATTACCAGTTAAATATTATTTGTAAGTAGTCCTTTAGACTTAAAAATACACAAAATTTGCAATCTTATCTGATTATAATAACGGTATTATTTATATACCAATTAACTTTTAGCTACGCAAGTAACAGTAGTAAAGAGGACATGCTCAACACAACCACTATTGATTAATGGAACCCAAAAAATTAGTAACAATTTAAATGAGATGTAAACGTTGCAAATTAACACACTATGTAGTTTAGTTATTTAAAGTATAATAATATCTTTTCTACTGTTCATAAGAATAAAATTTTTAGAAGCTAAGTGAACATAACTCGTGCAAATATAACTAAATGCGTTTCAAAGCATTCATGTTTACCTCAACATTGGAGTAAACTCTCAGGGATCAAATATTAAATATAATAACACTGTAAAGACCTACCGAATGTAATGGCCTTGACAATACCAGAATTTTGAAATATTAGCTCTTAAGTTTCAAAGTGTATTTATTTATATAATTTGAAGTAGAAAGCAAGAACAATATTGGGCAACGAGTGAGTCCTACTCTCTGAACCAATAGTTTGCACGAGGGTATTAAGGCCCTATATTAGATTGCAGTTTAAATAAAATACTTGGATCGAGAAATATTATTGTTAAGAAAATACATATCCTTACAAAAACAGACATCCCGTACATGACAACTTTGAACCAAATAAATTTACCTCGCAGATTGGCAGTACAACTACCAGGAGAGCTTAAACGATTTTGAGGCTAATATCAAACTCATAAATAAGGTTCTACAATATTGGTAGTAAAAAACAAAAATGCCAACAATCAGACTAATAAGAAAAAACACACAAGGAATACAAATTATGGAACATATAAAACAAGCCCTTCCGTCAATCCTATTATAAAAACAGACTATCTCATTCCCAAAGCAAATTGCGCATATCCAGAAAACAGTACTATAACAACCTCAAATTTCTTTTTTCTAATCAGAAATCTATTATACAATTAAAAATTGAGGTTAAAAAACCTCTTACATTGTCTATCAGCTAATTTTAATTAAAAAATTCATATCTAAACCTTATATTTTAGCCAAGATTAAAAAATTTCGTTTTATATCGCAAAAAACAACTGGAAGCACCACCAATATTTAACACTTTGGTCAATGTAAATTCCCTTAGGAACTTTTAAATATGCTTCAATTCTTCACCAATATAAGAGTTTGATCCCCTATCCTTTGTTTTATTGTTTCATTCCATTACGTTATCAGCGCCTAGCCGCCACAAAGCTAAGGATCTTCAGCTACGTTTATACGAATCTTTTTTATCTTTCCTTTCAATTTTTGACTATATATATTATATTGGCATATAAATCTTCTTAATTATTTCTCTTTTTCATATATAGATAATTTTTCCCGAATTATTTTTCTTTATATTTTTTACCGCTAACTTAACCTCCTTTTATTACTCGCTGACACTATATAGTATATTTATAATTATGCAATACCAACTCAATTCTTTTCTACTGCAACATGGGGTGGACATTCTGCGGTATGTTTCACCATTATGTCAATGGTTAATAGACATAAAGTTAGCATTAACTACTCAAGAGGTTCATGAAATATTCTTCCCTAATTAAAAAATGGAGAACCTGAACTCATTTCTTCAGAAAAAATTAAAAAAGCGGATGTTGGAATACAAGTGATAATGTACAGTCTACGTCCTGGGATTAAGTCAAGAATTGGAGTTACGAGTGACCGCTCCAGAAAAAGTGATTCAAAACGCTAAAAAAGTGTTTGGAAGGAACTCACTAGTAACCTTCACGAGCAAAATACTGAAATATATGTCATGCATGTAAGAGAGATACGAGTCCATACAACACTTCGCCTAGCGTTTAATCCACATTTCAAGTCAAATAGAAGAACAGTGCACAGTCAAGAGAGTGTTACCTCATATTGGTGAAATTACGAACACAAAACCATAGCCCTTATACTAGCTCTTATACCCATATTTAAAGTGTCTCTAGGGATGATGGACTTAGACTTCGTAGTACTAAACGTCGTGGCCATTGCTGTATTATCGTGCTGATGTCCATTTACAAGAAATAGTTCATTCTCTTCTCTACCTTGAACAATAACCTTGTCTTTCTTAATAAAAACTATTATTTTTAAAATAGAAATCATATCCTTTTTCATTTAATTTACCTACAGAGATCAGGTTGTCCTTGAAAATTTTGTCATAAATAGCTTTACCACGATCTAAAAATTTCAAAAACCGGTTTGGTAAGTCACAGGGCTACCATGTATTAATATCGTGTTTAGGCATCAATCTTTAATAAAATAAGGATGGGCCTAGTCTCAACAACCATTTTTATCCCTGGGTAATTTCGGAAAGTTATAATTTAAGTTGTGCCATGATTTTCTTGTTAAGGCAGCCTTTCTATGTGCTAATTTTTTACAAAAATGGCATTTTTGTTTAATGTATGGAATTGAGAACTTAAACATTGGTACGTTGTCCTGACAGACTTTGCAGAAGGGCGCTCGGTCTTTAAAAAATTTGGAAGTCTTTTTTTTCCCATGTAAGTTTGTTAATTACAGAATGCATTTAGAAATAAGGCGTTCAATTTGTTTTCAACTTCATGCCTGTTTTCCATTTGTAAAAAGGCATTAATTGCAAAACGGTAATCCAAGTTTTCTGGTTTAATACTGTAATATTGTTCTAGTGATATTACATCGTATTTAAAATCTTCTTCAACCCTGTGAGTAAAGGCTATGATTTTATGTGTTCGTAATTTCACCAATATGAGGTAACACTCTCTTGACTGTGCACTGCTCTTCTATTTGACTTGAAATGTGGATTAAACGGTTGGCGAAGTGTTGTATGGACTCGTATCTCTCTGACTTGCATGACACATTTTTCATGAATTTTGCTCGTGAAGGTTACGAGTGCCCTTCCAAATGCTTTTTTAACGTTTTGAATCACTTGTTCTGGAGCGGTCACATGTAACTCTTCAATTCTTGACCTGATCTCAGGATGTAGACTGTACATTATCACTTGTATTCCATCTGAACCATGTCGATTGATCTTGGTCTCGTCCGAAAAATTACTTTTTCCCAGTCAAAAATGGACCAATTTTCGTACTTCGCAAATACGAAATCTTAGTCGCTTGGGACGGTTTGTCAAAGGGGTTTAATTAACTTTTTTTTTCGCATGGAGACCAGCAGAATGCAATGCTCTCGATACGGTCGATCTTAAAACTGGTCCATCTAATGTTGTATCTATGGTTTTTGAAGCTTTCTGTGCAGATTCAATTGCGCCCAATGTCACTTGTCGTACAAGTCGAGCTACATCTCGGTTTTTCAAGCTCTTAGGATGCCCAGGTTCATTGCAAGGACGATTTGGAACATATTGAGATTTGATCCGGGATATTGTGGCCTTATTGACACCCACATTCACTAGCTAGGTAATGGAAGGCATGCCTTGATCTACGACATTTTGTATCATTTTCTTTATCGATTGAAAAAAAGATTACGCATTATTAAATTAAGTTCTCTCAATAAGCTGTCTTTTATAGTCCCTCAAACGCTTTAAAAAAAAACCCCATATGACGGAGTAATTATGAAAATTTCGTGCTAAAGATTGAAAATTTTGCACGAAGGAGGGTCACGTGCAAAATCGTTTCAATCGACACTTAAACTTTAAAATGCGATAGACTTAAGTAAGAAAGCAATTCCTCTAATTAAATAAATCTCAATCTGAACTTATATATCTATAAGGGATCACTTTAACGAATTATTAATTAAAGCGTTATAGAATTTTTACAAAAAAATTTAAAGCATAGAAACAATTTTGAATGATAGAGTATTTTGTTGAGGCCGTTCCTATTTAAAATGTTCATTTTAGAAGAAAGAGGTTTCTCCACAAACTAGCGTATACTACTGGTTAGAAACAAGTTGGACTACATGTGACTACAACTATGGAGAATTACTTGTCTCCGGGAGCTTAGTTCAATTAAAGATTAACCTAATGATGTGTATGGTTACAAAGGAGCGATACACTATGGGGGTATTTAGGATAATTTTTATAGTATTATAGATAGTTATTTAACGAGGCTGTATATATTAGTTTTTTTAGTAATATGGTACATATGCAAAAAGATTTGATCTGTGGAGAGCAAGACTTGCTGTCTGCGTCCCAAATAAACTTTAAGGACACTAAAAAGGATTTCTTTACTTGCTCATTTTGTCAGAAAACATTATGGTTAACTGTAAATTTTTTTGAACAACATGTAAACGAGTGTCTTATAAAGGAAACAGGTAAACTTTAAAAGGATTCGCTACAAAGCTATATTAAGTATATTAACCTAAGAGTTTTAAAAGTAAACTTATTGTGTTTTGCAAGTTAACTTTACTGTTCAAAATAATTATAATATACTGTATTTAGAACGAGGAGGATCTTTGCTCTGTTTAGTTTGCGGATTGGAGTTGGGGCTCTACGATTTCGAAAGTCGTCAGAAGCATATGAATTTTTGTCTTGATAAATATACTATAGAAGAACCATATCAGGACAATCCTTGCCTTATGAAAGCTTTTGCTTCAAAATCTTTATCTTCTAAGACAAAAACCGTTATGTCACTCATCAGTGATATTAAGAGTTACAAAATTTTGCCTATTAGTTGTTCTGATGCCCTACAAGAAAACGTTGAAACTTTAAGAAACTACAATTCTGTGAGAAAAGAAAAAAATTATTTAACTTCTTGTGCTTTTTGTCAAACTAAACTTCCTGATTGTCCTACTCAGCAGGCCTTGCACTTTGAGTTATGTTATTTCAACAACAGTACATTTGTTCAAACATTTGGCAATTTAAACGGTAGGGAACTGAAAGAATTTATTGAAGAAAAAAAGGCGACTAAAATATCCCCACTTGAGGGAGATTTTACGGTAAACTATTTGGACACTGTTGAAAATAGTTTAAAAGAAAGTAATATTGTTAGCCATATTTGTCGAATAGGTAGTAAAACACACGTAGACAAAAAATTAAACAATCCTATTAGTAAAGTTAAGCTATCAGACTACTTTGAACTTGTTATAAAAGAAAGCTGCAAAGTAATTCAGGGCAGTTACAACCGTTCTATTGTAGATAACTGCGGAAAATCTATTCTCACGAGTTATCATTCGGCTGATCATAGGTAAGTTAACTACTAAATTGTTTGCAATGAAAAAATTAACTTTTTTTTCCTTTATCACTCACGAACTACTACTATATTGTCTTTACTTAGAAAACCCACCAATAAATTTAACAATAATAAGAATTGCAATTTTAAAACATCAAAGGTATCCTACTTTAAAAGTTGACCATTATTTTTGCATATTTGACTTTTATATCTGAAATACTGGATTTTAATGTTATTTTAATTTAATATGTTAGCAGAGACACTACATTTACTTATATATAGAGAAAGAAAAAGCATAAAGTCCCACCTCTGCCCCATATCTACCCTCTTTTTATTCTCAGTGACGAACAAAAGTCTGAGTATATTAGAAAACGAGCTAATAAACTTGTAAGCGAACACATTTTTACGAGACCAAAAGACGTTGCAGCTGATCTCGGAAAACTGCCTAAAAGCCGTTTAAATTTAATTCACGGGTTTGTTGGTTTGCTTTAACTTAATATTTGACGTCGGATATTTGTCTTTATTACGTCATTTTAACAGCGATTATACAACTTCTTTTAGGTGTACTTTTTTTCACTTGCATTGTTAGCTATTATTAAGTGAATCTTGTAGAAATATAATAATTTAACAAAAAAATTGCAAGTTAATATATCAGGGTATTTAGCGATGCTTAGGATTTTTTTCTCTTTTCAATCAGTTATATTAACTTATTTTTTGCTATAAACACATCCTTTTATTTTTCGTATTTTATCTAACTATTAGTATATAACTTTTATTAAAATTTAGCTCGAGTGTGGATGCTTTCACTTTCACTTAATAATGAAGGTAATTCGGAGTTAACTACCATCAGTTAAGAAACCGCCTATATATATTTTGTTAGATAGCTAGTAAGTTTTGCCTGTATGATTATTATATTAATAGAAATATTTCATTTTATAAATAAATTATCTGATTGTGCATCTTTTGAAGACTATAACTTTCAGTAGTGTTGTTAGTATCAACTTATAAACTTTGTAAGCAAAGATTTTTTAGGAAGTTTTTTGAACGCTTATGCAGTTTTGCCACTTATTTTAGAAAATATAATTATTTCTTACGAGTTAATTACAAAATAACACGCTTAATTTTGCATCCTTTTGGTCTTTAAGTTTTCTGTCGACGCTCAATACAACTTTGAACGGGTTATACTACTTGTTCCAACTTTAATATGTACTTTCCTGCAACCTCTAGAGGGCTTTCGACGAGTTTGTTTACAGTCTGTAGATCTATTGATTTTTTATAAGTTATTGCCACATTTAGTCCTTTCTTGCACGGCACATGTCTGCTCCGCAAAAGGTTATAGCCCACGTGATAATTTAAAGAGTATCATGTGTTATTTAAAAAAATTTTCTTCTGAGGCTTTTGAGACTTTTTTATAGTATGAAGTTCATACCTTTAACAAATCTTAGATATTGAAATTGTTTATAACATAAACAGTTCAATCTTTTTATAATTTAAAATATATATACTTTATATTATTAAAGATTGTAGTTTCCTCGCATATTTTAAGTCTTTATAACTATTTAAATGTGCCTACAATTACTTTTTATAGAAAAATATACTTTCTATATAAGATAAATAGCAACATCTAAGAACTTCTGTGTGATTTTCTTAACGATATGATCTTTTGTGCTTAATCTATTTTATAATTATGAAGCCCGAAGTTTATTTAAAGGTTTTTGGAAATATATTTTGTGATCTAGTAGAGAACTATACAAGTTGCAAGCCAGAAACCTGATAAGAGCAATAAGATGTAAAATATTATCGATAGTTAACTGCTTAAGCTTTGATAGTTGACGACAAATAACACAATTGTTTAGTTTTTGTCTTATATTACTTTCGTAGAAAAGCCAAGTTCTGCCAGTATCTAAAATTTTTCACAAGTTCCATACAAAAAAAATTTTTTTTTAATAAATAGTCATCAAGGCGAACACGGCATACACCAAAACGCACGGATAAGCGATCAGCAATCTCTGTTCTTGTAGGGAAAGAATCTGAACGAATATTCTCGACGCAGAAATGGCGCACCAAAGAATCGAGAGTCCCGCTAAAGTTAGTCCAAACACGCCCCTGCAAAGAACGGAGCATTATTATTGCTTAAAAGCAACCTATTAAGCTGATCATAGTAAAGAATTGTGCGATTATGATTTGGATCTGTAGCTTAAAAGAAATAAGGCTATACATAAAAATAATAATTAATATAATTATTAGACAATACAGTTAATATTATAACAGAAGCTTTACTTTAAATCCACTTTTCAGCGAGTTTTTATAAGCAATACCTAAACTCTAGCTTTTTCCATGACGATAGTACAACATAAAAAAGTTAAAATTATTAAGATTTTGCTTTTTTACTCATTAATGGTTCTGTAACTTACGTTCCATATATATACGTATGTGCGATTTCCACTCAGACGGAGGTAAAAGGAGCAAAATATTTTTATAAAGTCAAATAGAAACTAAAAATGGACAATTTTTTTCTATTAATAGAATTTAAAATTCTACTCTCCTGAAGTAAATTCTTAAAGTTCAGGTCAGTAATATATATATACAATTTGAAACCGCAGCAGGAATTTATTACTTTTTGAAAGGTTTTGAAAATGTTTAAGAAAGAGACTTAGAAGGAAAGTTGCGATATTGTTGAGAAGAAATTACTTATAAAAAGGCGCTTGCTTGCACACTGTTTATAAAACGTTCCTTTACTTAAAGCGGCTAACAACTTCGCTACTAATAAGTGTGCTTTTTTAATAATTATGAATTAATAGTTTAATAACATTTTTAACTTTTGCGCTTTCGTATAGTTGGTCATAAATGTAATTAATAACTGCTGACTAGAAGTTTATATCTATAATATAATTGAAAATATATGGATTTTTTTTACAAATTAGTTAGCATAATTTTTGTATATCATAAAACTATAAAGTTGTAGAAGTATAATATAAAATATTATAAATATTTTACTTTAAACTCCAGAAGATTGAAAAAGATGATAAGAGGACCATTGGCAGTAGGGAGTAGCCCAGCACGCTACAGGTACACTAATAAGGGAGATATATAAAAAGAATTAGTAAAAGAGTTTCAGTAGAGTTAAAATAAACTAACGCAAAAAATTGTGTAACGAAGAAATTTCTTTAATATGCTATAGAGTACAGGAAAACAACTAAAAGAGAAAAAGTTATATTCCAACAGAGCATCGAATATTGATAGTAACGAAAAAGTTATATAATATTAATTCTCAATTTAATTCGCGATAATAAAGAAAAATGAATAAAAGCCAAATTTTATAACCTTTAGTAAAATCCTAAATTATGAAGGTTATGTAGTACAAAAACTTTTTTTATATTTATAAAAATCAAGAAAACCCAAATTGAGATTCCGTTAAGGCTCATTAAGTTTAGAAGTGCCCACGTGCAAAATGAACCGATCACGCCAACGCCGTAGATATAACCAAAGTGCAACTTCCCGCTCTAATAATTTTATAGTTTATATTAGTATTATAGCTGTAAAAACGATCCACAGTTTTAAGAAAAATAAATTATTTTTGGTAATCAAATTATTATGCTCCTTTGTTATACTTTTTTTAATTAAATTTTTTCTTTTGCACAATACATAGTAACACTAAAAGTTATCAAAGTGGATTTACTTTATCCAGAAGAGTGTAAAGATATACAATATAAGAAAAAAGAAAAAGTTAGTAAAAAACGCTTTATATGAAATCAATTTTAATTTTAAATTTGATTTTCTATAACTGGCAATATATATGGAAACCACAATTAACAGACTACAAACTTATATATAATATATAGTAGATTTATATGATACGGTACTAATATGACTATCATCAATATACGAACTATACGAGGAGCAGGAAGGCTCCGTAAGCCAAAATAAAGAACAAAGGTCCAGCGACATCGGCGGTGTCCATCAGGTGAGCGTCCACCGTCACAAAAGGATTAATTACTACTAAAGCCTGAAAAATATTATAAAATTAAAATATACTTTCGGAAAAATAACTGAATCTAGAACGAAAGTAGTAAAGCAGATAATAAGTTCTAATTGACTATTAAAAAAAATATAGATAACTTGTACCACAGAAAGGATGTAAGCGAAATTAACGGAAATATAAATAAACTTAACTAACAACTACAAATAATAATACATTTTAAGTCGTTCAAAAGAGATAATAAAAAATATTGTCGAGTGAAGCAACAAGCAAAGTTAAATTCTTTTCTAAATAAATGTACTGCGTAAATTTAATAATAAAAATATTAAACTAGTACGAATAAGATTTAATAAGAAAGGAAAGCTCGTGGGATAAGTTATAATAAAGAATAGAAGCTTTAAGCAATAACTGTTTACTCCTTAAAAATTGTGTTAGTATAACACAACCAACTAACAAAAAGGGTAATCAGTTTATTTAATAATACTTTTCGTTTTATTTGATCAGGATATATTTCCAGCTCTAAATAGTATGATAGTAAAATTTGAATTAGTACTTTTGTTTACAAAAAATTAAATTAAGAATAACTTTTTACTCGATACCTTCAAGAAGTGGAGGTTCATAAGTCTCAGAGTAATTTATAGCATTCCTAGTGGGACCTGGTGTTAAGTTCCCTTTAAAGTCTACAGATTAAATATTTTTTAATTAAGATTACTGAAATATAAAAAAAGTTATTGCTGTTAAACTTAATTACCAAAGTTTTCAAAGAAAAATCCTACCTGAAGATTGGTTTAAGCTGGGAAATACCTCTTCATATGTTCCGGTGAAATCCTGGAACTAATAAACATAAAGTAAAGTTTTTTAAAAACAAGGTTTCATATAATTTTTTTGAAAGAATATCAAATAGAATCTTTATAAATAGCTATGATAAACCATCAAACATATATATTCATATAACTGTCAGATCATAAGAATAGCCCTCCTCCTGAAGCATTGCTTCCTTACTATAAATACGTAGTAATATTTAATAATATTCATCTTTTTATTACAAACTAAAAGCTGGCCGAAACCTGCAAGTTTCTTGAAAATTCCCACTTTTGTACAAAACCCCCGAAAAACCAATTTTATCAGCCAAGTGTTATTTATTAGTACTTGAACTGTTGAGAGTTATGCTTAAAATACATAGAGTGGGCTTGCTAATACTTATTTACAAACAACTAAAATATTAAATAACAACTTTACTTACAAAAGAACATACTATTATTAAAATATATATAGAAATAGTTTTTTAAATGCTTAATGAAAGTAGCCCCTCGCCAAAGTAAAAAATCAACTAGTTACTTGCTCTTATTGCTTTATAATATATAAATATGTTCACATTAAAAATATTTTTTTAACTCTCCATAGAAAAATAAACGGGCTTCCGAAGTCTAATTGGTGTTTTAACGACTTTGAAATTGGCAGACCTTTAGGAAGAGGGAAGTTTGGCAACGTTTTCCTTGCCAGAGAAAGACGAACAAAGTATATAGTTGCTTTAAAGGTTATTTCCTAATTTTTTCCTTTATTTCTTATTCCAGTTTACTTATTCTTTTTTAAGTTTATTGGGCAACTTTGCTTTTTATCTTTCTGTACCTATATACTGCTTTACAACCTTTGTATAGTTCATTTAATATTATATATTTACTATTCTAATGAAACTGTTTTTTAAGCTTATGGAATTTATTTCTTATAAAAACTTAAAATAACCATTGGTTAAAATGGTAATTAGTGGTATAAAAAATTTAGGCTCGTAAGAGGTTATAAATATTTACAACATCAAAATGAAGTATACCATAAGAATATTTCCTCTGTAATAAATTGAAAATTTTCTGTCTTTTTGTTTAATACATTTGTGAATAGTTTTTAACTTTTACAAACAACAATAATTAATTTGTTAAATATTCATAATAATTTACTCATTTTTAGTCCTTAAAAGTTAAATAATTAAGTTTTTGTTTTAATAATAAATTATAAAGATTCATCTAAACTTCAATCCTTTAAAATTTTATTTAAAATTGTTAACAGAGTCAATTGTATGATAATCTCAAAAGATTGCTTATCGACTTTTTTAATAAAAGAGGGCATCTATAAGTACTAGCAACAATAATCTTTTTTCTTTTTACTTTAAACTTTTTATCTTGTAGTCAACATCCTATGTTACCCTGAATGGTTTAACATCAATTCAAAAGTAACTTTTAACAATTAGTTCCATTTTTTTTTTTTGTCTTAAGAGATGTATAAAAAATATGTTTGTTTAAAATTTAGATTCTGCCATAATTTAATAAGTTTTTGGTGTAAATTTTTGTCTTGCAACCTCAAAAGTTTTATATGTTTAGTTTACTTTAACAAAATTTACTGGTTGAAGTTTAAACAAAAAACTTTTTCTTGATTATTTTAGTATTTCGTAACACTTGAAGTTTTTTCAGTTAGTCTGATATTTTTTATAGTAAATAAACTTTAAAATTTACTAAAAAACCTTTATTGCTTGTTTCTTGTAGTAGGTAATGCCATATTATAAACTAACTAGAATTTTATTTGCGCTTTTATAACTATATATAAACATTACTTTTAGGTTTTGTTTAAATCCCAACTGCAGAAGGCCGATGTAGAGCACCAGCTGCGTAGAGAAATTGAAATTCAGTCTCGCTTACAGTAACTTATTTTAAAGACGAATTGCCGTCGAATATTTTCTTAATTTTTATATATTTACTAATTTTTTTGCTTTTGCGCAAAGTTTTGTTCTATCAATCGCACATGCAGACTTTTCTTATATAAATATTATTTTTGGAAATACGATATATACATTTTATTTTTTTTAATTTTTTGTGTATAACGTAATATCTTATAGTTGATCATTTTAAAACTCGTACTTAAGCTGATATCGATTTCACTTTTTATAAAGTTTTATTGCTTTAATTATTATGAGGTTTAGAGCAAAAGTGATAAAAATTTTGGCTATATATAACTTTTTTCTCTATATTTTATTAATTATGACATTGTTGTTCCACCGAGGCATCCTCATATTTTGAATCTACTCGGCTGGTTTTATGACGACCGTAAGATTTACTTGATCCTTGAATATGCTCCACGCGGCGAACTTTATAAAGAGTTGCAACTTTACGGAAAGTTTCCCGAAAACAGAGCAGCAAAAGTAGTTTTATTATTATTACGCAAAACAGGCTGGTGTTACCGGATTGATTATTTATCATATTAATAAACAGTAACGCCGTTGAAGTTGATTTTATACTTCATAAGAATTTATAATGTTTTGTGAATGGTTTTTACGGCATTATAAAGTCTAGAACCATTTTAAGCACTATAAAAGTGTACAAAAGTTTAAAAACTTTACTTAAACGTGCGAAACTTAATAGCTTTTTTCATTTACTACTATTAATTGACTATAAAATACTTCAGTATATTCGACAATTGGCCGAAGCGCTCATCTTCTTGCACAAGGAGAAAGTGATTCATCGAGATATTAAACCAGAAAACTTATTACTGGGGATCAACGGCGACTTGAAAATTGCCGATTTTGGTTGGTCCGTGCACGCCCCTTCCTCGAGGTAGCAGCTTTATAATGTTTTTTAGTACTTAAAAAAAGGAAATAAACATCATTAAGAATAGAAAGGGCAGTAGTATAGGTGTTTTCTCCAGCGACCATCGTTTTACTTTTTTTTGCATCTCGACAGAAGAACAACGCTGTGCGGCACTCTCGACTATCTTCCTCCCGAAATGATAGAAGGCAAAGCACATGACGACAAGGCATTGTCATGGCTAAAAATCATGAGACTATTTACAAATTGACCTCATAAAAAAGGTGGACTTGTGGAGTTTGGGTGTGTTGTGCTACGAATTTCTGGTGGGCGTTCCACCCTTTGAGACGGAGGTGGGCCTCTTCGATAGTATCTTTGCTCGTCTCTTATACCTTCCTTTCCAGGACTCGAGAGCTACCTACAAAAGAATCAGCCAAGTAGACTTGCAGTTCCCGCCGAGCGTCTCCGAGCTCGCCCAAGATTTAATCTCTAAGGTGATTGGTTTCGCCATTCATTACCGACAATATTTCGATTCTGCCAGCATTATTTTTGGAACATTTTGACAATTTACTTTTATTCAAAGTTTACTGAAATTTTTTTGAACGCACAGTAAAAAGGCTGTTCATATCGCGCTTTAATGCTGTACTATTTTATAACCAAGTATAGCAGTTGATGTAGCAAACCAATTATATTTAAGATTAATAGCGTACATCATGGTCTTCGAGGGTTAAATATTGTCAAGTTTAACTATTATACCGTTATGTGTTTATATTTAACTTTTATTTCTGTTCGTATGCAATAAATTTTTTAGTTTTCTTAAGTAAACTATTTTAACTACACACTTATTATATATTAAATATTTATAATTACAATACTCGAATAATTAAAGATTGACTATATTATATAACTATTTTTAAATAATTTCCTAGTATATTTTTCCTTGGAAATTTACGTATAAAATCTATTCGAAGTTCCTTTTCTTTCACGTGACATTTTTAGTTAAAATTAATTTTTTTTGCAGCTTTTGAAAAAGAATCCTGCCGAAAGACTTTCCCTTGAAAACGTTCTAAAGCACCACTGGATAGTGCAAAATACCTAAAAATTAATTGGTAACAAAAAATTATTATCTTATATAAAATATTATCGTTCCCTTTCCATCCCATCTCTTAGCCCTTTTTTAGATTTTATTAACTTTTTTTATGTGACATTGCAGCTTTTGTTTAGCAAACTTTTTTTTGAACTGACGAAATGCTGCGTAAAAAAGATCTGAAGTACTTTCGCTGCTTTCATCTCGAGAATTAGCCAAGTTTGTTACGCTGAAAGAGATTCGGCCAAACTTAATTTTTTTAATGACCAACAAATACATAAAGGAATAAAGAACAATGGCTTATTTTTCGTCCTCTATACGCGTAGTTTGTAAACTGTAGTGCTTACAACAAGCATGCAGTCCAATACCCACAAGAGGCAAAAGGGGTCACTTATAAGGACCCGATGTCGTCTCTGCCCCTCCGTAGCCCGTTTTAGATGATATTGTAGGTAGAGTGCGGTAAAATAGCTTGCCGATGCGTCAATAACAGAGAGGCAAGGGGAAGCAGCTCGCATTCTCCGGCCTAATTTTTTCGCGGCGGATGTTCGAGTTTCATATACTGCATTTTAGGAGTTGTAGCAATAGATTTTTTTAAAATAGTCGAGGTGCTGTGCTACAGGAGAAAATTTGTAAAGAAAATCATAAGCGGTGATAACAATGGACCCTCTTGGCTAAGCTAAAAAAAAGCTTTTAGCTTCGGTACCCTGCAAAAAAAGTCGAAGGAGATTTTGAGAAAAGTTGGTTTCCCTCATAAATGAGAATAAGCTTTGTTTCTTCCTGCAGAAGTTAAGTATGGCGTCAATGCAGAGTTGTGTTTGGCCAATTATACAGTTATGTTTAAGCTGCTGCCGTAATTCCTACTGCGGTCTGGAATTCAGTAAGTATGGAGCCTAGGCCCTTGTTTATCTTAAACATGGTAGGTAAGTCTCTCGTGATATTTGCTACCAGTTAACGTAGTGTCGGTGACTGGTTGATGACAGCCTTTGTCTAAACAAGCCGCGCGTAAGGTCGTTTAATAAACACTAAAGTTTCTGGAAAGGCTTGATATGACCCTTGTTTCCGCGTGGAAAGCGTTAGAGGACTTCGGGGAACAGTAGAGAGAGAAGTGTTCACTAAATGTTACAGCACTTTACAGGTAACATTTGCAGACGTGTTGGCTTGCGGGGACAATTTGCTCTCGCTATACTTAACGCGCAAACTTGTACTGGGCCATATGACCTCTTTGGTTGTTTCACAGGTGGCCATGAGCTCTTTCCACTACAAACAACCGGCGCGTCGATCAGCTAAAAAAAGGTAGCTCGTGCTTCTGCGCCTTGTTCTTTTCATTTACCATATTACTGCGCTCTACCCTTTCAGTTTAGAACTTAAAAGGCCTGTTGGCCTTTTAAGCTAATTTTTTTTTAATAGCAAACGGTAAATTAGACCTAGTTACAATGGCTAAGTAGAGTAAAGAGCTCCCTGTACAGTACGTATACTGGTACTTCACTTGACAGGTAATTTCTATTAAGATTAAAATTTTTGATAATTTTGCGTCCTTCATTTAAATCTTGTTATGACAGTTATATATTTTAAATTATTTTAACTCTAATTTAATTTTGTTCATCGCTCATCCCTAAACTCGAGTTTTTCCCCAGAGGTTGATGTCGTGTTTGGAACTCACGCAAAATATTATCTTTGCTATAAGTTTTGCTCTCGCAGGCAATTAAACAGTTATTAACATATAATATAAGCAACATAAGTTTCCTTTTGTTACGATGAAGATAAGAAGGAATCGCTGTGAATTCGTCGAAAGCCAAAACTGGACCAAGTCATCTTGCGTGGTTACAATTTAATTCAAAATAGCTCAGGGATCGATTTAGCAATCTACCTTAGTCAAACTGTTTGCCAACCTCTGATCTTTGTGGGACATCCTTATATATCCCTTTTTTTCGATAAGAGGAATCTAAGTGCAACGTCTAAGTTAAAATGCAGCGCCTCCCTTCTCGTAGAGGCAGCCAAACAGAAAAAATTCTTCAACTGCGCACCAAAACTAACGGTTTCCAGTCAATCTTTTCATATACTTGAGTAAAACCTTTAACACAAATTTGAGCTTTAAAATTATTAACACTGCCGTCAAAGTCATTTTTAGCTAGAAAGACCCACTTTCAAAGACTTTTTTTCTGTCTTTTGGCGACATGGCGGAGATCCAAGTGCAATTTTTGGATTGATAGAATTTCCGGTTAATTTCTTGCAACCGCTCCAACATGTATTTGCTAGTGCTTCCTTAAAAGTTTTGGCGTTGCAATATCGCGCGCTTTAGGTGTTGAATTTTAAGTTAATTATGTGGTACCAATATTCTTAAAATACAAAGTTTAGTTTCTATAGCTCAATGTTCACTAGCCTGGCGCGTATACCATCAATTATTTCACGTATAATCGCAGTTTTCAAGTTTTTAGTTCTGTCGCAGTTGCACCAAGTAAATTTTATCCCAATATTAGCTGTGGTATGACTTCGGTTAGGCACGTATATTGAGTCCTTATTGCCCTTTCCAAGATCAATTCGTTTTTTACAAATCACACTTACAACAAAAAGACCATCACTGCTCACTGCTTATACGACTTTAAGTGATTCGAGTTGACTCCAACAGAGTAACCTATTTTTTGATCGTTCATCCAGCCCAGATTTAAGAGGATTACTATAAAACGCTTTGCTCCCAAGAACGCGAAACATCCAAAGTCAGAACCTCTGCTCGGGCAATAATTCAAATACTGGAGGGCCCCTTATTGTTTTTTTCAGAAACCCCTTAACTTTGTAGAGTCTATAAACAGCGTGTAAGTTACTGTGACTTACCTACTTATATATTTATTATAAGGGAAAATGGTCCAAAATATCTCAGCGTTGTCACATCTCACTAGCTTTATAATAGGGTCAATAAAGTTTTCGTAATACGGGAGCTTTACTTATATACTTTATTAAGTACCAGGTTTTATAACCACTGTTCACATAATTTCATGTCCTACGTTTAACCCCTAATGCCATCTTGTCCAAAACACTAGTGGACTTATGTTTGACTTTTTTGTAATTTTGTACTTCACCAATTATCTTACTAGATTTGATTATGAATTATATAAAAAAACTTAACTATTCTTAATCATAGGAAGAAAGATTTTTTATCTTATTTATATTTTTCTATTTAGGAAAAAAAAAGTAAAAGAAAGGTTTTTATTTAAATAAGGTGGAGCACACGGTTCTCCTTGGCCTTGTATATTTTTAAAGAAAGGTTGGAACGGGAAGAATTTTCTGGTTTTTTTTTAATCCCATAATAAAGCAATCGTGAGGAGAAGAAAAAAAGGGGAATACTTGTCCTTAAAACCAAAGAAAACGCATTTCATTTTCGCTTTATAAGTAGTAGATTGCGTGAATAATAAAAAAAGAAAAAAGAAAGCTTAGCCTTTTGGCCAGATGTCCTGTTATTTATAAAGCCTGAAAGAAAAGAGCTAATGGGAATTCAATAAAGACGATTCAGGCGAAGGGAGTGGGACCCGAAAAAAATATTGGGGAAAGAAAGGAGACACAACCTAACATGGAAAAGTGAAGATTCCTTCCAATTAAAGTCCTTAAAATAAAAGGGAAAAAAGCTCAAATGTTATAATAAGAAAGAAGGAGACTTAATATTCAAAAAAGAAAGTGTTTAAAGCCCTTCTCCTATGAGCACAAGGACGTTATTATGATTTCAAATTAGGTAAGGCTACCCACTGCACTTGGGCATATCAATAAGAGTAGGAAAAGCAAATAACCATGATTCCCCTTGTAATGGCGGAGGAAGCGGAAAAAGTTCAAATTTTAAAGCCGTGGTGCTAATGATGGCTCACGGCTAGGTATGCAAACGGGACCCCGCGCTTTGTGGGATTGAAAAATAAAGTTGTAATCTTTGATTATCTTATTAATGAATATTTGCAGATATCATTAAAAAAATTTTAAGATTTTTTCATCCGGGATGTTTTTTTCCTTATTACGTGCTTATGACACTTAACACTAACATGTTCTGTTCAGTATCATCTATCACGTGTTTTTAACAATAGAGAAGTAAACTCGAATTAAAATTAAACATGTAACCCATATTCGGATCTTTTTTCATTCTTTTTTTTGTTACGATGGGTGAAAGAAAGAAAGTAGTTACTTTGAACAAGTGGTTTCGGGCCCGGCATCCCCCTATACTTTTTTTTAAAAAGTACGGATAAAAAATCTGTAAAGTTCAAAGAATGTTCCGGAGTTGTAAAATTGAGTGCTAGATAGACCAAAGGAATACATACCCATTTGAAAAAAACCGCCCGTAAGGTTGTTAGAAATTATAAAGGAATTACCACCGTCCAGTAGTATTGAAAAGGGACCGAACCTGGAAATTCGTATGACGACTTTAATGAGCCGACATCACGCGTTCAACCAAAAAAGGAAATAGGAGGATTGTTTTCAAAACGAAAGCACTGATATGATAATATCTCGAATTGTTGCATTAGATGGCTTTCCATTTAATCTTTTATCACTTCGGATGAATTAAAAAAAGTTATACATTAAATCGGGCATAGTTTACCTGTTTCAGCCCATTAAGTTAGATATATCGTAAGAAATATGGCAAATCCGTTAAACATGGAATGATTAAGGAATTTTTGCATTGCATCTCCAAAGTCACAGTGATTTTTTCTCTTTTTTAGTTAAATTGTATTTATAACATTTTTTTATGGTAGATCTCATTAACTTTAGACGATTGGACCTTTAAAAGAAACCGACGCTACTTAAATGTAAACGTTTATTGTCGTATGAATGAGGACACCTTAGACATTAGTTTTTATTAATTCCCATATCCGAAATCATTAGTTAGAGCATTGAAAAAAAATTTAAACTTTCCGATTCTTTTTTATTTTATCCTTTTATTAATAATTTTTAAAATGGCTTGTAAGTAATAGAAGCGTCTAAGTAGGATAGGATTTTTTCAGCTAAAAGTTTCCTTTTTAAATTTTCCTCTTGTAGGTACGCCTAATATAAAGAGAACCTTCAACTTACCAAAATAGAAGTTAATTTTTTAATCCTGTCAGTTACAGGCTGTAACAAAAAAAATTGGTAAAAAGAATAATTTTTGTTGACTCCTGGATCCCGTGGGATTGCATTCCCTATTCAAGGCATTGTAATCTATAGATATGCTTATCCTGTGGAGAGTGAAAACAAACGTAGTAGAACTAAGAAATCAGTTTTATCGCTGTAACCAACACCGCCCATCCTCTATTAGTTTACTAACGAATAAAAGATTGGCTTAATGTCATTGCAAAATAAAGCTTGTAACCTTGTTCCATTTTTAATACCTTTTATAGGTTGCAGCACGATCTTTTCTGTCGCTGCTATGAAGGGTACTACAGTCGCGTTTAAAATGTAAATAAACAAAAGACATGAAATCAACGACAATAGAATAGTTCTATATCAATAGCAGTGCGACTAACAAGTTGAAAATAAAGTATGGGTTAGTAAAATTATTACAAATGCAGAAATGAAAAAGGTTTATAAAACAAGGACAAAGCACTTCACAATTGATGTGACCCCTTCTAAACAATTTAGATGTAGGAAAGGCGCAATCGAAAAAGTATTTCTTGCAGTTCAATAGAATCCTGTCCTTATCTAATGAGACCAAAAGTTTGCCACAAAGCTGTATCTTTCATAGACATCTTTAGTTTAACCTTTTTTTTCTGATATGAACGCAAAGGGTTGAAAAGCAGTGTTGTTATGAGACCTAATCAATAACTTTGCTATATACTCCTGCAAGTCCTTTCAAGAAGGCAATCAACATGTTAAGGCCAGAACTATTTTACAGTTTAGATTACTGTTAAACACTAATATAATCTTGAAATCACATGAATTCAGAAGTTGCGAGTAATGTTACCATTATTCAAGCAAAAAAAGGTTTTGAGTTGACCTTTTTCATATTCACAAAGTAACAACTCCCATGCTTCAGAAAGAGAAGACGTAGTGCTTACGAGGCACATGAAAATAGACCTCCATGTCAAGGTTATAAGATTATACGCCTTCAGCTCCTAAGATAATTGTCATACAGGGTGAAACAGCCTTGTGCAGGTAAACCCAGTCACAGTTCATCTAGGAAGTTAAGGCCAGAAATTTAGCTTGCCAAAACTGGAGATATCTCCATCAACCACTAAAAACTAAAGCTAGGCTTCTCAAAGCAAAAAAAAATTAAATAAAAAAGAAGCAAATGGCCTCTTTTTTTTTTTAAGTTGCGCAGACACTCGGTAATATAGAGAGCGGATTGCTTGATCGCGCAAATAATATAAAATATTAGGTTTAGACCATATTCAATTTCGGCAGCTCATCTCACAATAAACTTTTTATGTGTGTAAAGGTATAACAAAACTGTTAATGTGCTCTTAAAGCGCACCGCGGGAGCCTTTGAAGCATGAGCCTTTTAGAGTTCGTATGTACGTTCTTGATTCCACTAGTGGTTTGGATGCCTAAAAAAGAAACTGAAGTTGCATTTCGGAAAAAGTTTAAGTCGTTCCAAATCTGGTAGTCATGTAACCTATCGTTCCGCAAGGAATAAGGTGCGCTAGTCATGAGTCGCAGAAGCCTGCTGTGCTGCGACGTCTGGATAGGTGCAATCCTCGACGGTTTATCTTATGTCCACCAACAGATGCGTAGACCATAATAGGGCGCATGCATACTTTATATAGGAGCATTTTGTTATGCAGGGACATTTCGCTTTTAGCACACAGCAGCGGTAGAGTGCGTGAATCTGCTGCTTTTTTTTTTGACCCTAGGTCCACATGTTGCCTTCAAGTTAGTGGCTTATCGATGACGACCCCAAGTAATTGACCTAAGAGCCTAATGGGATCTTACACCTTCCAGGGTTAAAGGCGAGGGTAGCATTTTGGGTCTTAATAAGATGGGAATTGCTTTGCTCTTCATTCCATTTATGGTTACGCCCCATGGTCAACACCATTTGGAAAACGTTTCCAAATAACGCGGTAGGTGGCCGTAAGAATAAGGGGCTCTTTGAGAACGCGTAAACTGCAGTGTCACCGGCATAGAGTGCAACGCGACTGTGAGGGTTCGCAGGGAGTGGAAGTATTTGCATGTACAGCGGGGGTGAGAGCAAAGAGTCTTGCGGAATACCAGCTGTCAGTCGATGATATGGCGACAGCACCGCCCAACTCTCACTCGAAAGACCTGCATTAAAACGACGCAAATACGCTGTAGAAGGCTAATGGAGAACCTAATGTGAGGAGCCTGCGTCGGAGGGCCCCTTGTCATACGCGGTCAAAGGCGTTTTCAACGTGGAAGATACGAGGCCCTTGGGTTTCTTAAAAAATAGAAATGCCGAGTTGACCACCCAGTAAAGCGCAAAATTTGTTGTGTGTCGAGTGGCCTCTTCGGAGTCCAAAGTGGAATTCTAAAAGCCCTTTGGGTGTTTCTACAAGCTCTCCCAGCCTGGGTAGTAGAACCGCCTCCACGGTTTTGCCCAACGCTAATTGGGTGATATACACCGGGGTTCACTGAAGGCGGAGTCCTAGGTAGCATCACCACAGTGTTTGTTTTCCATCGAGTTGCAAATGGCTTTTAATTTGTAAAAAAAAATATATATACATACATAAAAATAAAAGCCTCCTAAAACAAAGAACACGTGGCTAAGAGGTAAAAACTAACGAAGAATTTATAAAGTATATAATTTTACTGTGGTTCGCGAGGATATATATCTGAGTCGCTCAGTCTTAGAATACATAAGATCAAATTGGTAGTGATAGTTTGCTCTCTGATAGTTGTTATCCAACAAAAATTGCAGTTCAGGTGACCTATACTTAAGTTCGTGGTAGTTGTTTAGGCTAAATATTTAAGTTTATTTGCCGTTAATAACTTTTTATTAAACCTTAGGTGTTTGTTTTATTTACAAAAAAATTTTTATTCCGTAATGCGCTTAATTATAGAAATAATCAAAAAATTCGCAGTCTATAACAAACGTATTGTTAATTTAGGCTTAGTATATATTAAGAGTAGGAATTAAAGTTTTCGTTCCAAAAACAACTATTCAAATAAGTACGATATTTATAGCTAATCCGTAGTAAGAAGTAGAGAAGCACAGGCCACCTCCAAAAACGGCAAGTGAACTGCGCAAGAAATCCCCTTGTATTAATATAAGTGTAAATAATTAGTATTCATAAGTATTAAGTTTAAATTAAATTTTTCGTTTTAAAAAGCTATTTTATAAAGTAAAAAGAGGTATATGTTAAAATGATCTGCAAATAAAGAACAAATTTCTTCTACAATACTTAGTTTTCAAATATGAAAGGTACAGAACGTTTTGGTCTAACTTCAAGGAAGAAAGCTAAATTTAAACCTTATTAAATTCAGAAACGGTATGGTCTATTTAAAATAACCTTGCATTTAATAAGATTACATGTTTATATAATAAGTTGCTTTTATAAAACGTGTACCCTGCATGATGTACCAATGAACCACCTCGCACATCATACTCACTGTGGAGTGACGGGAGTTAATTATTTATTTCCGCAAACTGACTCCTTCATACCTGCAGTAACACACTTGATAGTACTATTCCTTAGTATATACTCCAGATAAGATATATTATTGGCAGCCCTAACGTAAGTAAGAAGGTTTATGTAAATTTAAAAAAATTAGTTTAAAGAACATACTTTTGCCACTCGTATTTATAAATTAGGTTTAACAATAGTAGTCACGAAGTTAATTAAAAAAAATATATATATATAATAACACTAAATTGAGTGTGAAAGAATACCTTCATTATAGTCGCCACCGAAGGAACTAGTAACGTAAGCTTAAAAAAAAAAGGAAGCGCCCGGCATGCAAAAAGTTAGAAATCTAAAGTTTAAAAGAGCTACTAGCCAGTGTACAGAAAAATTATAAAAAAGTAAAACTATTATTTTACTAAATATATATTACAGGTTTTCGATAATAATAATATTGAAATAATAAACAACAGAAGTGAGGAACTTGCAGAATGCTACAGATGGTCGAGTACCTTCCACAATTTTTATTAGTTGACCATTTGGGAGTGCAATGTGCTAAATTATTTAATTTTTAAGTGCAGTTCTGGTAAAGGCAGAGCCTCCTCGAGGGTCGTGGTTTGCTAGTTTGGAGTTTTAGGTCTCGAGGCTTGTACTTTATATAGTTAAATTGTTTTAGCTTAAATTTTGCGATCCATAATGTCTGATGAGAGGGACTTAAGGTATTTTTTAGTCATTTTTATTACATTTTAAATTCATACTTAAAGTTTTTTAATATATATCTTATGAATAATTGCTGCTGAAAGATATACGTTGTATGTATAGTTATTAATAACATGAGTTTATAGTTTTATCTCAGACGTTAATTTTGAGTGGATACAATCTTACAGTCACATTACTGTTACATTTTTCTGTTCAGGTAAGTATTTATACAATATATGTCAATTATATCGTTTATTATAAGAATAGATTTAAAAAAGGAAGATATCAACCTTAAATATGGGGATGGCAGTTACTTACAATTAGAATTTCTAAGTAAAAATCAAAAGGTGTTACTTCGTTTGTTCGATTTTGTTGTGCCTGAAGCTTCAACCTTTCGGATCTGCAAGTCAACTATTGAAGTTAAACTAAGGAAACAAACGGAGTATTATTGGCCTCGTTTAATTAAAGAAGGCAACAAGATTTCTCCAACAGAGTTACGTAAAATAGTTTCTTCTAAGGATGAAAATAGTAGTAAAAATAGCGAAGCGCTAAAAAAAAAGAAGGATTGGAATAAAATTGACTGGGAAATTAAGAAAGCAGAGGAGGAAAGCAAGGAAGAAGGTAGCCCTATTTCTCAATATAAAATTCAGTAGTTGGATAAATCAATATTTTAATAGGTGAAGGAGCTCTAGAAAAACTTTTTAAAAAAATCTATGCTAATGCTGACGACGATACAAGGCGTGCTATGAACAAATCTTTTTCTGAAAGTAGAGGCACTGTACTTAGTACTAATTGGTATCGGTTTTTTAAATTTATTTGAATTGACTATTTATCTTTATAAATTCTTATTTAGTATTATAGATTTCTTTCTATTCTTACTACCTTTTTTTGTATTGTCCATTCGTAGAATCTTATATTTATTGTTACTTCGTGGCTAGTATAGCAAGTCTATTCAGCGGCACTTTTCTCATATTGTTTTGCTTTCATTTGTTTTTTATAGGGCCGAAGTAGGCTCTAAAAAAGTCAATGTTGAACTTCCCGGTGGTTTAGAAGAAAATCATCACTAAAGAATAAAGGATTATCTTTCTTTTATTATGAGTACCGCCTGGTAGACTGAAGTAAAATTCTACTACTAGTCCTGCTTCTTCTCACACCGCTCCCTTCATCTATTGGACTTTGTAGGATTGTGTACTCTAAAGGCAGAAACTGTTTATATTTTATTGTATCTTCAGTTTTTAATAATAAGAATGCACGGTATGTATAATCTTAGTGACCAAGATATATCGATATTGAAACTTTACTGAGGAAAAATTAACAATTAACCCTATTACTTCGTTGGCCTTATTGAGAGTGACAGTGGCGGAACTTCTGGCAACAATAAGAACAGAAGCACTTAAAAAAAAGAACAGCACACTTATGCTAGAAGAGTGGATAAATTTATCAAAAGCTGAACTTTAAGCCTATAAAGTGAAAAAGTGGGAGTTAACGAATTTATTAAAGGGTCAGGCATTTATAAGGACGCCCCATCAAAACGAAGACAGTTCGTATTTAGAAGACGGTACATTATCTCTCTCCTATTTTGGTTTCACCAGTTTGTCATTGCGCTAACGCTATTAATTGTTAAAGAATGTTAAAATAATTCGATAATTTGTCAGGTTCAATTGTTTTATCAATATGTTATAGCTGGTTAAAAATGTCCTGCGCCAAAAAAAATTATTTTTCAAAACTATCAATAAGCAGTTGTATGCATAAAAATTTTATTAAACACCAATTTTTTGTAATTACGTCTGATCTAAATAAGTACACGGTTATATATGATTGGTTAGCGTTCAAGGCGGCTTAATATCCTAAAACAGATTTGTATGGTACTGTCTAAAAAAAATGAAGTGTTACTTGATTACATGTTAATGTGTAATAAGAGGTGGCACAGAAGTTTGATCTTAAACTTTTGTTGTTTCCAGTCTTAAGTGTGGTAATTTTCAAAATTAAGCTAAAGGAAAAGGAAAGTACAACTAGCTATACGTGAAAGAAAAAAGTTTTAAAATAAATTTTTTGCATTTTTTGAAAATAATATTCATTACTTTAAGCATATGTCCCTAAACCAAAAGCTGTAGTGAGCTTATTTAAGGTTAAAAATTATTAATTGATGAGTATTAGAAGTTATAATTACGAGGGATCCACTATATTACTGATATTATAATATTAACGCAGAATTGTTGACCGACTATTTTTAGTTTTCAGCAGGTATCATACTCAATTAATTTACTTTATTAAAATCTTAAGTATTTAATAAAGGTAATTATGTGAAATTTGAAAATTTAAAGCCATTTATTAATAAACTTGAGGGATTGCGATGCGATTTTGATGGAGTCCCCGAATTGACTAACTAAGGAGTTCATATTATCAGTTAGCATTAACCCCTCATCGGCTACTCGTGTCACAGTCCCACCTTAATCTATGTGACGTAAGAAATCTGATGATATTCCTTAAAAGTTTTTTCACCACTTTTAAGATATTAAATATAAATTTAAAAAGTGTACATGAGGTGAGCTAATTTTTGCTTGTTATACTAACAGTTCACAAGATGGGGAAATTGTTCTACAATTAAGATATAAATTATGTAAATATTTAAAGAATATAAACATGAATATTTTAATAATAAACTTTACAGTTAATTTAATTATAAAAAATTTAAAAAAATCAAGTGTGATTATACTATTTAAACATAAGGGTAATCGAAGTTTCCAACTGCAATTGTAGTCTACTAGTAAAGAGATATTGGTGACGCTGGGTCTAAAATAAATCACGTGCTTAAAAATTTTCACTAAAGCAAGTGCTGTGCTAAATTTTAAACTACCAAATATAGTATAACTATTCTTTCTAGCATATAGCTCTTTATAAATGTCAAGTTAAATTTACTGGAAGCTAATTTAATTTATCGCACCAGTCTAATAAAAATTATAGTAGAAAGTACTGTTACATTAAGGAAAATAGGGAAAGTAGTTTATTTATAATTTTTATTTGCGCTTAGCTTTATAACAATAACATTAAAATAACAATTCAATCATATAATGTAAATAAAAAAATTAATTTGTGAGGGATTACCTTCGTAAACTTCTTTTTTTTCACTTATTTTTGGTTATAAAAACATTACTAAATGTCTTCACATTTTAACGAATTACTTGCTGGTGGAATTGCTGGTGGAGCTGGAATTATCATAGGACAACCTCTTGACACCGTTAAGGTTCGCTTACAAGCAGAAAAGGGTTACAATGGCATAGTAAATTGTTTAAAGAAAACTATCTCGAATGAAGGCGTTTCGGGTTTATTTAGAGGCTTGCTTCCCCCCTTGCTTGGCGCAACTTGTGTTAATGCTGTCTTGTTTTATTCATATGCTTTATCGGAGAAATTTTTACATGAATTTCAGGAAGACCGACTTCCTCTCTCTTCTTCGAAGTCAGCCTTTCAACGAGAAGATTGGAAAGTTTTTCTTTCAGGTTCAGTTGCTGGAGCATCCTCAGTTATTGTTACAACTCCTATTGAGCTTCTTAAATGTAAATTACAAGTTGAGCACTCCGTTCATTCAAATCACGAAGTAATATTCTTAATGAAGAAGATATATAATAGATATGGTCTACTACATGGTTTTTTTCATGGCGCTACAGTCACTCTGTTACGCGATTTCCCTTCTTTCGGAATTTATTACTGGTGTTACTATAAAGTTAAGAATATTGCTCTACAACTTTCTAATTCAGACCAACCAAAATCTTCACATCTTCTTACAGCAGGTTACTTTTATAAATTTTTATTATTATCCTGGCACAGATTTATAAAGTATAACCTATAGCCAAGTTTTAATTTAACTACTTCTTTAAGAAACTTTTTAGTAGCATAACCTAGAATATACCTCAGTGTTTATTGTTTTTAAAGTTATAATAATAATTTTAAAGGGGGAAAAAATAAAAAAAATTTAAATTAATTCTTATTTTTTTAGGTGAACTCTTGTTGAACTGTAAAACTTTTTTAAATTTTTACCTTAGTTAAACTTCTATTAATGTTTTTAAACTAATTTTAAAAGAAACGTAAGTTACAACGTTTCTGTGTTGAACCATATAAGTTTTTAAAAAAAAAGTACTAGCTTTTTTTATAAAATTGTTAGCAGGTGGGGCTCAAGTTTTTTTTAAAAAAAACTATGTTGTTAACCAATCTTATCTTTTTAATTGTTTTTTTTACAATAACTTTTAATTATTTTTCGTATAATTCTTAAGTTTTAACTATATATAAACTTTAAATATTTTATAAAATTCGAAGGGTTGTTATATTGTTAAAAATTTTGAAGTTATAAGGATCCTAACGTAGGATCTCTAACCCTTTCACTGGTACGAACCTTTGTATGCGGCTTATAAACCATGGGTTTGAATGGGTATGAACGTACCCGAATTATGTGCAGCGACTTTGATTAGGTTTTCGTATAGAACCAGTCTGAGCTTATTCTCATTTATATATATTAGAAACTTTATTAAAGATAATCTGACTCATCCTACAGTTTAACCACGTATATAAACATTCGCACCAGTTAAAGGGTTAAAAACATACATTAAGATAACAGAAATATACGTTTTCGTTAAGGCTTATTTTATAAGTATTAAGAAATTATTTATGAATTGTATTCTTTAGTTACTTTTTATAATATCATTCTTGATTGTATTAAAGTATGTTAAATATTGTTGTTGCATCATTTCCTATTGTGCAGTACTAGAAGATTAGCTACGGTTTTATACATGTCCTTTTTGGTAGCAACATAAGCGCTTACGGGCAAAAACCTTAGTTTCGCCACAGGATAGGTGATTAGCTAGTTATCTTCATTATGAACATCTCATTTTGTTTAAAAGTTAATTAAACTTAAGTTATTTTAAGTTGAAAGTCAACACTTAGTTTTTCCATTCTAAATTTCTGTTTATTTTTTTTAATTTTATATAAGTATTTTTCAAGGTAATAATTCCTTCTAGTTTTAGTTATGTTTTTATCTTTTTGTTTTTCTTTGGTCTTCACTATTATAACTTCTATTGGGTAGGGCTAGCGGGTATTTTCAAAGTTTACTTAACGTAATTATCTTTAAGGTGCTATAGCTGGAGCATTCAGCTGGGTGTCATGTTACCCTGTGGACGTGCTGAAGACACGAATTCAAGTTTTAGATCGCCTACAAAGCGACTGCCGACTGTTGGAAGTGGCCAAATCAATTTATAAGAATGAGGGAATAAGCCCGTTTTATAGGGGTTTGGGTGCCACGGTTATTAGAGGAGCCCCCGTCAGTGCTGTCACCTTCCTCGTTTATGAGCAATTACTACAGCTATTAAAATGTAGCTAACTAGTTCGTTTTTATGTTTAGAAATTGAATAAACGCCATTAAAAAAATTCGACGAAGTAAAGGTTTTTTTTTTGAAGTTAGAAAAATTATTAGTTTAAACTTTAAGCATTAAAGGTCTTTGAACCTCGTAAAATTATTAGTCTTTACTTCTTAACGCCTTTTTTATCGACTTGTATCTCAAAAGTTTATTAGTGTAGAGTTTCCATATAAACAAAACAGTTTGTTCTTGGACATTTTAAAAATATAAAATACCTCACTTCCGCGACTTAACTTTTTTTAAGTTAGGCTACCCTATTTTTAGCGGTTAGCAGAGAAGAGAGGCCATAATGTAAACGAAGAAAGTAACGCAGTCGTTTAACCATATTAAGTAAGTCAAATCACTGCACTGTGTGTTTGAAAGTATTGAAAACAACTTTTATGTTATAATAATACGAGAAGGTATCTTCTCAGGTAATATGAACTCTTTTTAAGACTTGCGTTGGAAGACTAAATAATTGTTTTTGAGGACCAGCTCATTGTCAAGTAATGAAGACTACTCAAAAATTATGTTTTGCCGTAAAAGAAGGCCCGTTTTTCATATACTATTTATCATAATTGTATGAAGCCATTCAATTTAGTCGAAATATTTAAGTTTCCTTTATGGTTTTTTCATCATATCGCGTTGAGTCTGTAGGTAAATATAATTGATATGGCCAATAAGTAAAAACCGCCCTAGTTCCTACAAACTTTCGTCTTTCAAAACCTTGAAAATTTTTTTTAATTTTCACTAATTTCATTTTTGCGTTGTCGGTCGAGTAACAGTTTGAGCTAGAAACGCTAATGAAGATTAATAAGGGTTACGAGGTATAGCAATTATGTGCTTTACGAAATAATTTAATATCTGTAAGACTAAAGGAATTAAGAAGAAAAGTTTATTAACAATTACTTACACATCTATACAGTAATAACCCACTCCAAAATAGTAATTAAAACCATTCAAAATATCAAACTAATATTTATGAGATAAACGCATTATTAAACAGTTTGGCAGAGACTATGTTAACAATTATTACATATACAAATATGGTAGTTATATCTCTGACGTACCATTTAAACGAAACCAAATTAAACGTTTATTCTAAGAATCTTACATTTAATTTAAACAAATATGAATGGAAATGTTTTTTTTTTAACCTTTTGTTAAAGTTATATAAACGGCTTAATAGCTCGTAATAAACTGACTAGTGGTGCCGGTCAGTGTCTCCGGGTGGCCTCAGGTCTTTGTGCCTGTGACTGCCTTGCCTCTCTCGGTGGTGGTTGGTTTTTGGCGGTTTCCACCGCGCTAGGCGGAATGGCGGGGGTTCGAGCCATTGTATTCCCACTTTTTAGTACTTCGGGACAGTCATTATAGCTCTATAAAGAGAGTACACTGTGGGCGCTCTTGCTCCAACAAGCGGCTTAAGGTTTCAGTGAGAAGGCCGACCGTAGTATGCTAGTGCTAAAAGTAAAATAATTTAAGGTAACTCCCGTCTCTTTGTTCTCGCCTTCTTGGTCGTTAGTGCTATTAAAGTTAGATAGCAAATAACACAGAGTCCGTAACTACATGCTCATTCTGGTTAAATTTTTTCGGTGGTTGAGAGAAGAAGCAATTTTAGAGAGATTGATCCTGTCCATTTCCTTGCAGTTAGTTAAGAAGGTTATTATAAAGTAAGAACTACGAAAAAAGCTACCAGAATGACACTCTGAAAATGTAGTATTTTGGGCCTAATTATTTATTATTTAAAGCTGTTTTCCCGTTTTATTTATATTGTTAATTCTAGGGTCCCCCGCGCGTAGTGATACTCAAACCTGGCGCTTCTACGGCTAGGGTGTTATATAAGAGAAAGGAAAGCAATTAAAAATAGCTTGAGGCGAGTGAAGTTGTTACACGCATATATAATAAACTTAAAGCGACGCCACTCCGAGCTTGTAAGCTTAACTAGACATTTTAGCTGACTTAGCGGCCCCCAGTAAATCTGTTTCAGTTAGTAAATTTATAAACATGTGCATGGTAAAAAATGCTTTGTTAGTATGATGAGGTGAGGTTAAAACCTTTAACCTGGATCATTAAAGCAAATTTTCTAACAATTAGTAGTACCGAGTTTCCGAGTAACACCATGTGGTAATGCAATATTTTTATAAACCATATTGAAAATGTTAAGACTTGATAAAGGATACACACTTTCGATGGCAGTCTACGCGGAATTAAATCGTAGCAATTTTAAAAAGTGCCTGGGATTACGAGTAATTTCAACTAGCAAACTAGGATTAAAGTATTATTCAATTCGCTTTTTTTTCATTGCCTTTTGCAGAGTCTTGATATTTTAGAGCACCGTTTAAAAAGTAAAGAACAATACGCTGCTACTCTGAACCTCTTTAATAAAATTAATAATCCCGAACTTTCCGCTCTCAAAATTTGAAAAAAAAAATAATTAAAGAAAACTGTAAATATGTAACAAACGCCCTAAAATATGACGGTCTTCCAGTCTCTTCCCCTCCCTCTTACCTCATTTTCTATTATGTTATCAGCACCAAGTTTTAACCTGAGCTTTTATTTTCTCTACATTTTTTGGATCGCAATATTTCAACTACATTCCGTTGGACCCTTTACTCTACGTCCTATTGGATGGTTATCTCCTTTACGTCTTTTTCAACTTAACATTTCCAAATTAATGTCTTTACCTACAAATAAACTCTATTAAATTTTAAACATAAACTCACTATAATACATTCTTTTATCTCCTTCTCAACCTCTATTATAACTCGATACTTCACTCACTTCTTTAATTTATTTGTTTACCGTTAAACTTTGTTATTCTCCCTTACGTTAAATAAAACATTTTTTACTAATGCAGAACAATCCAGATTTACATATACAACAATATGCACGTCAAGGACAAATATAAAGTATGCCTCCCGACCTCGGCAATGCCTTAACGATATTAAACTGGCATTATAACTCTCGGGCTACACGATCTTTTTTTACCACACGAAATAATTGGAAAACCACAAGTTACTACACAATAAATTTAAAAGGGCAGCACATGGTATACACATTGTAATGAACAGCTTGCACACAAACGTATAAAAAATCTAACATAGAGGAAATAAAATTCACTGAACTGGAACGAGCCATATGAAAACGTTAAAGACGCTTTCGGTAGAAAGTCGCTGGTAGCATATATGAGCAAAATATAAGAACTTTGCAATGCCATGAAACGGGATGACGAAACTGTTCAACAATTTGCAAAAAAAAAATCGTTTAGAATACATTTCAAATTAAATTGAAGAACAAGGTACAGTTAAAAATTAACACCTCACATAAACGAAATAACTAATTTACATAATATTGCTGCCCTTATGCATGAGTAGGAGATAAAGTTAGACATGATGTGATTTCTCTAGAACAGTATTATTCCAATAATGTTAACTCGCTTAATTGTAGATATGCACTTAACGCCCTACTTCAAGAAGAAACTAAGAATAATACAGAGGACGGATCTAAAATTAAATTTTTCAATACTATTAGTACAACTAAATTTTACAAGGGCAGTACCCTTTTACCAATAGCGAAAAAAGAAACTTTAAATGCAAGGGCTGTGGTGGACCTCACTTAGATCCTAATGCCCCCACATCAGAGAATCCTGTTCTTTTTGCGGAAAAATAGGTCACATTGAGAAGGCTTGCCTAACCGAAAAACAACCCCACTAAGAGCTATTGAAAAGGCTGTCCCGTTGGACGTGAAATGCTAGTCGATACTGGCGCTTATATCCTCTCTTTATCAAAGAGAGAGAATTTGTAATTGATGTAGAGTATGATAAAAACAATCAATACAATAAAGGATCATTCTATAGCTTATAAAACCGGATATATATTTTTTTAAATTGTCTTGATAATAGCAAAGCTAACTTGGATACTAATTTTAAACATAACCTTATTTCTTGTTGGCAAATATTATAAGAAAAAGGTTATAATGTTCACTTTGATAGTAATAAGATATACATAAAAAAACGACTGCATTATTTTTCAAGGGGTTCTTTATTCTAGATCCCGGAAGTTGCATTGACAGTTACTCTATGTTTGCTACAAATAATCAAGAGGCGTATAATATAGTCCCTAAAGAGCACTGCAAACACGACCGCATCAGTTATCCCTGATTTAAAAAAATTTGCCCAAACACATCTTATTTTAAAAAATGAAGATTGAGAAACTTGTCTAAAGTGTAAAATGATAATGAAAAAGGCCAATAAGAGGAGCAAAACTCACGATAATCGAAAACCTGGACAGCTAATTTACATTAATACTATGTACTGGGACATTCCCTCTTACAATGACCACAGATACGTAATTGTTGCCACCGACGTAAAGTTTAATCGGAATATAACATTATTTGCCAAAAAAAAAAAAATCGAGATCAAGTATCTACTAACTCGATGGCTTAAACAGCACAATAAATATATAAAATATCTCATAATAAATGGTAACACATCCCCTGCAGTCAGAAGGGAAATAAGAACGGATAAAGGAAATGAGTTAATAAATAACAGACTGCTTTAAGATGTTTAACAAGTGGATAATAAACTATTAACGGTTCTTAAGACACCCCACAATGTATGTTGAGCGAGAGGAGTATTACAAACTATCTGATATGATCAGATGCATGTTAAAACAGACAAAGTTTCCGATAAATTACTGGGGTGAAGCCCGTCGCAATGGAACATTTATTATTAATATCATATCCTAAAAAGGACGAACAACTTTCTCCAAACGAAATCTTTGGTCTTGCATCCTCGGGGGCTTTGGTCGTGCAAGCCGTTAGGTTTTTAAGTTCTTTTCTATGACCACACTTTAAAAAAAGAAATCTCAAGACTGTGCTCTAGAAGATATTCTCCTTTCAAACCATTGACCCAACAACTTACTAATATAATATACTAAACACAAGTACTGGCAAGATTGTAAGATACAGAGACGTTAATTGCTTCGAAGATTTATTTCCTTATAACCACGTATAATATTAATGACGTAACACCTGACACGCAGTTGAACAAATCCCCCTACCCAGCTTATGTTAACATTAACCTATTTTTCAACCCCCTCCCTCCCCTCAGGCACCACAAAACTGCAATTCGGATACTGAAATTGAAGATTAAGAAATTATATATGAGCAACCTGATATTAACGAAAAAGCCTCATAAAAATCTCTACCTTTCTAATACTTACTGATACGAAAATACAACCACAACTTGAACAAAGGACAGACTTAAAAAACAAAACCTCTCACTGCTCAACTGAAAAAAACAATGCATTAATAAAAAACGACAAATATTCTACCATAAAATTTTTTAGAAAATCCCAGTTAACAATTCTTACCAAATATAACTTCGCAAAACAACTCAATCTTTAGAAGTTAACCCACGTACTTAGACCGACAATACCGAACTCAAACAAGTAACACACGCATTTAATGAACTCGCATTATCAACAAACGACAAACCTAAAGAACAACTTCAACTTAAAAGCTTATCTAAAAACTCTATAATAAAAGATCTTTCCCAACTAAATCCTACGATCTTTTTCAAAATAAAATGACTATATCCCCAAACTCGCCCTACTGTATACTCAAGGAACAACAAAGCACTTTAACTAAAAGAAATTTGGAAAATGATTACTATCAAGCTAAGAAAAACCAAAACACAATTAATGCCTACAACACAACTATTTAACCTACAATGAAGCTATGAATTCAGAAAATAGAGGTCACTACATAATTTGCAGCCACAAACGCACTGGAATCACTAATGGGTTCATGATGGATTTGATATTACTGATATTAATACCGTACCCATTAAAAAAGTTATAACGACTACATGGAGACTTCACATAAAAACTAACAACTAATATAAAGCTAAACTCACAGAAGGGGATTTCAACAAATACCAAACGTTGATTATAAAGAAATTTTTTCTCCTGTCCTCTCAAAATCAACTTTTCTATTACTTCTTGCTATATCAAAAATTTTAAACATGCCCACCCACACCACTGATATAACAACAGTCTTCTTACATCTCAAAACTAAATATACCAGTTAATGTTTACATACCACAAGGCTTTTACCTAATCATGGACGAATTAGAGAAAAGTTTTAGTAGATCACTATAACCAAAAAAGTACGTGAGTCTTAAAAATTAATGTGACTCTTTATGGCTTGAACCTGAAAGACTTTTACGAAGATCTCTCCAACAGGCTAAAAAAATATGGCTACCACCAAAACAAAACTGACGAGTGTATTTTTTACTAAGATAACTGTGACACTCTCATAGGTATATATGTTGATGACTGCACTATTATTGGAGACCACATCACGTTTATAGAAAATCTTAAAAAAGGAGACAGTGTGAAAGAGTATAACATAGTTAATAGGGCCCTTGGAATCGACTTAAAAAATGATAACAACTTTCCTTTTACTTTTGTTATACAACAATGGAAGAAAAAAAAAATCAAAAGTGGATAGAAAGAGTAAACTCTTTTATTGGCCTCTGAATTAAAATTTAATTTTATAACACAATCGTAAAATTTTACTAAAGTTGAATCGGAAAAAAAGAATTTATTACTTAAGCTTGGTTTAACAAAAAAAGAAGTATATAAAAGTAAACAGTTGAGGTTTTTATTGGTTATTCAGTTGCCTCGCCAATACCACTTTCACTGCCGCTTTCGCTTTCAGCCAATGTCTGAACGTTTATATCGTGCAATATTTGGTCCTGGATACCCACCGCTTCATTACGAGGAACAACAAAGTAGGGGTTCTCCTCTCGCAGACGGAAGATATACCTGCAAGAGTCGAGATAAATTAAACACATCGAAGCCTTAAGAACACTGATAAAAATAAACAATAAATTTTAAAAAAACTAACATCCTTGAGTCAATATTGATATTAATTTTTAGTCTAATTGCTGTACACTCCATTAAATAAAAAAAAGTAAAAAATACAGTATGAATAAAAGTTACGCTAAAGAGGCGGTAAAAAGAAAAAAGATGGCATCGTAAAAAATCAAGGCACAGAAATTCACACTTCCGATTTTGAAAAGAAGTATCAAACGGTAAAAAGTAAGCGCGACAAGATAAATCATCACCGCAAAGAAAAAGCGTCTAAAAAATATATTTATTAAAGAAACAACACTTAAAGTATAAAAGTTGAGAATGTAATAAAATAATTAAAGTAATATAATAGTGTTGGTAAAAACGTGTCATATAGGCTTGACTTTATACTAAAGGTTATGAGCAGTTGCTAACTAGTTCTTTTCTATCAGTATTATGATACTCTCTAAGCTACTAATGAAATAGAAGAATTAGCATATATAAAAATAACAAAGTAAGAGTCTTTTTTTAACCCTAATTTTATTTTTCGCAATTTAGAAAAACAAATATCAATAAGCTCGATAAAGATAACAAAACTAAATAGCACTGTAGTAAAAAAGGAAACGCTGATCAACAAATATGCATAGTTGATACGATAAGAGGGTCAGTTTCGCTGAATTGGGGATAAACTGGTTGTTGTCTTCCTCCTCCACTTCCTCCTTGAGCTCTTCAAACGTTGGCATCCTGCAACAGATATACTCATTAGTAAAAACTAAGGAATATCCACAGTATAATTCTATTAGCCAAATAACAAATTTTCGAAGGTTGTTGAGAGAGAAAAGAAACCTCGCATCAGAGGCAGCACTTCTGTTAAAGTCTTTTGCAAATATCCCAGATGAGGTTTGCTGAGTTGCGATTTCTTCCTCGTTTCTTAAGTCGTCGTCCACAAACATGCTCTCTTCTAGTATCGTACTTCAGCATTATTCAGTATTAATATTCTATAAGTGACCGTTTGCCTGTCGCCGCCTACTGAGGTCTTCTGTTATCTTCTCGATGAGAACAAGTTTCTCAACATTAACAGTTTGATGTATCCAAACCGCCATGTAAAGAACAGTGAAAGTCCAAATGAGGGAGGACTAAATGGATATAAATGAATAATATGTATTAGAACTAGTAAAAAAAAAAGTATTAACAATGGGAAAGGGAAAACTAAACGACACTTGCGCTTTCAACTAACCAACTTAAAAAAAAAACCTAAAATACACATGTATTCTATTCTATCTACAATTCGTTTATTTACTTCAAGAGCTTTCATAAGCAGAGAAAAAAGTGTTTTAGTAGTAACATTAATGATTTTTATATAACAACTAAATAATACATAGAGTCTTTGTAAAAGCTATAACTAAAGTACAGCTCCTCTTACTGAAAGAAGCTTCTATGGGTCAATATTTTAAAGTATTTAAATATAATTTTTTTCTGCATAGTCATTGCTAACAAGAAAGACCAGTGCTTATACCGTTAAGCTTTACGATAACCTCAGTTTTAAGTAATCAATAAGGAAAGATGTATTTATACATACGAAAGCAATTAGATTCTTGGCGGCAATGGACAGCTGGTGGTCTGGAGTCTGTTCTCTAGCGGTTAATTCCGATTGCATCACGCCCTCGTGCACCAGAGAGGACACGAAAAACAAGAGCGGGACAACAAACAGGGTCTTAGCATTGTCTCCGAGTCTACCAAATGGAGAAAGAGATATAATATAAATGCTAAAATTTTCTAGTGAAAATTATAGACAATAAATATACATAGTATGAATCTCTATTACACACAGTAAACTTAATATAACTTTTAATAAGTATATTTATGTTTTTACATCGAATATATATTATAAAATCTAATGCCTGTCTCGTGTGATCTTCCAACCGTACGATATAAGCATCAAAACGGCGACATACGTAGCTAGTAAAATAACATCAATAGTAATGTTAATAACGAAACATAATAAATGGCGCCATAATAAAGTTGTAAGAAGGGCAAATAAACTAATATTAACGGGCTCCTTCGCTACCATTTTTTTTTATTTAAGCAGGTTTATAACAAAACTATTGATTCTATACTGTACTCGTAAATAATTATAAAATTAAATTTATTAAGTAAGAAATATAAATGCTTAATATACCAAAAAAAAAGTAACTACTAATCAATAATTATAATTATACGGCAAAGTTTAAAAATATGGTTTGAGTTAGAAATAAATTAGTTCAAACATTCAACAACAGAACCGATAGTTAAAAACCGAAGGAATTCTACACTCATATTAATACAGAGCCCGTTGATTACTGGCTGTTACTATAATTTAAAGAGCACAGAAAGAAATGAACTTTAAAAACTATAGCAAACCCCATCTCCTTTTTTCATAAATTAATATTTTTAAAATCTACCCAACGTATGTTTAAAATAGCAGCAACTCTGCAAGGAGCTAACCCTTTGACCATTTTATTCAATATATATATACATTAATTTTACAAAAACTAATAACAAAATAATAAAATCAAAAAACAAACTTTAAAGCTCTTTAAAGCTCTCTGTCTAGTTATCAACTATAATAACAACATAAGTAATATATTAATGCTTACCTTTGTTATAACAGAAAAACATTAAGGCTCATATATATATATAAATAATTCTATAAAAGTTTCAAAGTATAGATATATCGATATATATAAAAAAATACTAACAAACAAATCCACCAACTGAGCAAACACACAAGTAGTTTCAGGAGATCAGGCGTAGCAAAAATAATGAAATGTTCTTTAAGAAAACAAGATTATTTCACGAATAAACCATAGTATTAACGCAAAACGCGTTTCACAATAAAACCAGTTTAACAAAACTTAATAAAATTCGTTCTAACGATACAAAGTTGAGAGAGTGTGCAAAGTTAATATAGAATATTAGTATTAGCCATCAGCTTGAGCTATTCTTTTTTATAGCTGTTGTAAGGTCTACCCCCTTGTAGAGTGAATGATAATTTTTAACTTCTTATATATATCAAATTATTAAAAGTTAAAAAAGCACAATGCCGTCATGCCGTGGAAATATAATAATATAAACCTCTTAAAATTTCTTTACTAACTTATTCAAGTCAAAAAAATTTAATTTAATATAGTTTTTTAGTTAAGTCAATGTTTGTAAAATTTAGATTCAAACATATTACACAGTTTACCTATCACAAGCCTATCAAAAAACAGCAGAATAAAGCAGAAATAAAGACCTAAAATGGATCATAATTTGATAATTAGCTCAAAAATATAAAACATTTTGGTTACATAAAACTTATTATAAGAGTTGAAATCACATAAGGTCAAAATATATAGTTAGTATTAAAAATATTTATTAGAAAATAATAATTAGTTTAAGAAAGTTTCTGAGTAAATTTACCCTGCAATAAGTGTTGATAGAGGAAGCTCACTGCTTCTTTCGCTACTGTAGTACATAAAATAACAAAAATCGCTACAGGTAGCTGCCATCCATAAACTAAAAATTCATTTAAACTTATTTAAAAGAAAAAATTTTATTTAACTATATAAAGCGACCTTTTTCTCCTCTATGCCGATAAAAATCTAAAGCCGACGCCCCCCATAAAGTTAACTTTCCAGCATAAAAATACAAAGAAGTTAATATTATTTAATACAAATACGTGCAGCTACTTATTAAAGTATAAACTAAATATATATATATTAGTTATAACTATTTATGTAACGAAATCATTTCTAAAAACACTTTGCGATTATCAATATTTTTTTAATAAAAGTTAAAAAGTCTAATAACTACGATAAAGCTATAAAAAGGTACCCAAGCTAAAAACCTTATGACCAAATACCAAGTAGGTGCCTGAAAGTCGATACCACAGGACATCCCAAAGAAACTCAAGAGTAGCCCACAGCAAAGACGGGACCGCACTAACACTCCCCCAACGGCTCAACGGATAGTTTACCCCCTGCAGTCTATGATACGTTAGCTTCTTTTCAACTAGCAGTAGTATTTATACCTTTCATAGTTGTTCAAGATTAAGAGGCCGAGTGCTTATTTTAAGTGGTTAATATAAAAGCCAAACCTCAGCTTATGATTGGTTCTCGTCTTATTTATAATAAAATTTATGAACCTCATAATGTATATTAACGTGTAGGTCCTAACTGGATGACACTAACTAATATTTTTAATAAATATTCTCCGTGTTCCAAAGTTATGAATTTTAAAAGTACATATTCCGTGAACAACTAATTTTAATAATTCGGTGCTTTAGCTCACCCTTTATAATCTCTATAGGGGTCTTCATTTTTTAATTTAAATACTACGCTACATCCTAAAAGAATTTTAGCGCTTAAGCTTTATACTTCTCCGTGATGTAATTTTCTGAAGGAATAAAACAGCTGCCCAGGAGGGCTACTAGCTAATGAATATGTAAAATGTTTCTTGACAAAAAAAAAGTGGGGAGGGGGGAGGGGGTTATGGCGCCCCCAGCTAGTTGTAAGTAGTAGATAGTAATAACCTTGCAGTGCGCGGCCCTCGTCTCCTGTCCCTAGTTGGTGAATTAGGTTTTCCGGAAACTAAATTTATTCTGTCATCAGTGTCATCAGTAAAAAATTAAACGAGTTAATACTTCACACTTTTTCCTATTAATTTTTTCGCATCATAGGGACCCCCTCGAACCATATATTATGTTTATTTTTATTATACACTATAATTTAGTAATTTGTTGACTTTTCAACGAGTATTTTTTTAATACCTAGTGGTATATACTTATATACAGTTTTTCAAGAAATTTGGACGTAGGAATAAAGGGAAGAGACCAGCAAGGTGTAAGGCAACTTGCATTATAGATAAAAGCTCATAATATTCTTTAAAACAAGCGAATGAAATTTATTGTAGTTTATACCTGAACTTTGTTGGTAGCAGTTAGTGCATAGTTACTTATTTAATAAGTAAAAAGTAAATGTTGCTGATAATTCTTATAGTTTCTTAAAAGCTTCTTTATAATTACCAAAAGTTCACGATTTCTACAATAATGGACATGTGCAAAACTCCTGTTTTCATTGCTGACTGCTAGTAGCAGTAAGTAGAATATAAATTAATAAAATTTTTAAAGCTCGTAGAATGGTAAATACCATATTGTGATGATTTGACTATGTAGATGTATGTTTCGCCAAAGCTCAGGTTGGAATAGAGAGGAATTGACGGATACTTTGTAACCTTTAAACAGTTGAGCGCTTACATTCTTTGAATTTTATTATCTTAAAATCTCAAAGTAACATTTGTTTAAAAAAGATGTTAACCTTAAGTGATCGGTAAATTAAAAGAGAGAGTGGAATATAATTGTGCGTGGCAATTAGAATAATAGTGTTGTAGGTATATAAATCGAAATTTATTAACAATCCTACGGACAGCTGCTAATGATATCGGGATGGGAGGTGGAACCTTAAAATTATGCCGACAAAGTGTTGCCTTTGTAAGCACTAAATTTAATGATTCTTAAAGAAATTACAGCTGCACAGATTAGGAAACAATGGCAGTAGCACGGTCAATCAACTAACAAATTATATTACCCAGAGGCTTAATATAAACTAATGAATTTTACGGGACGAGTGTAGAAAATCACCGTAAATGAAGGGAGGGTTGAGAATCAAGCGGATAATGGACAATAACGACGACGGCGGTTTTTATACATACTTGAATATCAAACGAGTTAACTGCTCTACTCTCCAGATTAATTAAAAATGTGAAAGATAAAGACAAAAAGAAAGTCAAACAAGGATTCATACAGATTCATAAGAAGCGCACAAAGAGAAAAATTTACGAAAACTAGAGCTCCCAAATACATAGGAATCTTATTCGTGGAAAAAATTTTAAAAAGTGAAAAAATAAGGGAAAATAAAGTTTAGTAATGAACTGGAAAAGAACATAGTTCAGGAATTCGATGCATGTATATAATTTTTCTGTAGATCTCCCCAAAAAAAGTTATAGTAAAATTCTAAAGGAATCAATAAATTAACTAGTGTATAATGTATTTAAGATGCCTATAATTCATGAGGCCTACGAAAAGGTAAATGGTTTTCTTTAAAAATACACTGGATTTTTTTTGAGGGGAAGGTTTTAACATTTAACTAGTGACTAACGAGTAAACGTACTTTTACTTTTATAAAAGATCTACAACAAAGATCTAATCTACAATTTGAGTGCAAATAGTACATGAAGGAATGTAATTATGGAAGGTCTGCAATCCGTTAATGCTATATTATAAAAAAATTTATATGTAAGCTAAGATTATTAAGTAGAAAATAAAAATAATATAATAATAATAAAGGTTGAAAGAGGTTTCTGGTGTTTTAACATACTATTAGTGTATGCAGATGCTCGGTTAGTAGAGTGCATTCTGCTTAGTCTAGTTTGAAATAGAAATGCGCACCCATAAAACTCCTAAAGAAGTATCATTAGTATCCCAAAGCTCTGATTAAGTAGTTAAAATTCTAAGCTCCTACCATTAGAGCTAGCATATAACTTAATAACCGGGAAGAAAGATATAAGCGATGGAATCGCCAGCGTGTTATCCATATGGTCGCATAGAGGTAATTAAAGATATAAGATTAAGGGTTTCTAAAAATACATGATCTTTAATATAATTTTTATTTATTTGTTATAACCCTATATTGTTATGTCTTCCTACGTCAAGCAAAGATTAGGCTTCTAGATATATTATTAGTAAATATGTACGCTATACTTTTCTCTGCTAAAACGTGCATTATAGTATGATAAGCCTTTGTAGTGCTTGAATGACGTGGTGGTAAGTAATATCTACTTGTCGCAGTGTTGTGTTTGAGGCACTACCAATTGTAATATTTATAACCTCACGTGTGGGGAAGGAGGAGGAATAAGAAACGCATTGATATTAATATACCAGTTCTCCTTATTAACCTTCGCTAAATTTTTTTTTAGCACTGGCATACTACGGCCGAACTTCTTCAGAACTTGAGCCGCTTAACCTGGCTTCCCCTCTTCCGCAGGGTAGGAGCACGGTTGCCCACCAGTATACACCTTTATAGAGCTATAATGACCGTCCCGAAGACTAAAAAAGTGGGCAGTACCGGGCACGGACCCGCGCCATTCGGTTAATGTAGTGGAAAACCGCTAAAAACCACCACCGGGAGAGGCAGCCTTAGGCACAAGGCCCGAAGCCACCTCGAGACACTGGACAGCACCACTGCCAGTCAGACCTCCCCGACTCTTCCCTAACTTTTATTGGCGCCTTAATTTTATATACTTCTTTGAAAGAGAGAGCCATTAATAATGATATGCTGAGAAAAAGCTCCCAGTTCGTGACTGCCATTTTTAGGCAATCCTTATAATTGTTTTTAAAATTGTTTAATCGCTAAAGAAAAATTCGTTAAAAAAATATACAAGCAACCACAATAATTTTTTTTTTTGCGCTTTCGTCTTAGTCACATCCGTAAGTCTATATTTACAGGTTTAAATTAAAACGTGTGGAGGTTTAAATATCAGAGTTCAAAGTTTTTTAATATCCTAACAGGATAAACTTTTAAATAACGCATTACTGAGAGCTATATATTCGGCTTTACATGTAAATTTTTGTAATTTGCTTTTATCAATATATAAGTGCCAATGTTTCAAATCACCTTTAATAAATGTTGTAGTCTCCTTGATGCTCACATGTAAAAGTTGTTAGCTTAAAAGTTTCCAAGTGTTAATATATATGTGGCCATTCACGTTTAAAAAAAGAGAATTCCAAGGTTTTTTAGTTCAGTATATATAACCAAACTTTATTTTGCTATCCCAAAGGTTGCTGTTGTAAAGTTATGCTTTAAAGATGCGTAAGACATTCATTATGCTCTAATTTTTTTTTTTTTTTGCTAAACTTTTTTTGCTTATGTACGCCTCCATCGGTCTTAATTTATGAAGTGTTAAGAAAGCTGCAACATGTGGTTTCTTTCTTTTAGAGTGAGGCTCTCGAAGGTCAGTTATCAAATGTTTTTTTTCTAATAGAAATGTTATTCGTAGTTATAAACTCTTCATATTTAATTTGATAGATTTATTTTTTTAAGAACGTTTCTTCAATTCCAATTAATAAAGTCATCCTCATAAATAACAACTGTGGTATATTGAAATTTTTGCTGAATAAAAAGGTATTGGCTTGCTATACGTATATAACCGTATTTTGGTGAACATTTGCTAAATCTATTCTTTTAACCTTATGCTCTAACGATTATTTGCGGTGCATACCTAATTTTTGAGTAATAATGATGTTTTAAAAGACCTTTTCTCTCATTAACTAATTTAAAAATATCTAGGTTGCTTTTTTTTATAGTAATACATAATTTCTTGAGGAAATACACGTAATATTAAGGTTTCTGTGTAGAAAGAGACTGTGCTTAAAAGGCTTAAACAATTTTTTAAGAACGATTTCTCTTCTAGATGTAACTTTGCTTGAATAATAAATAAAACAGCTGATTTATAATTAACATAGTCGAATGTTAAACTTTATTAAATTGTCTAAGTCAGTTAGAATGGTTCAAGGGTTTACCTTTAAAGTATGTAATTTCCATAATAGGCTAGTAACAAAAACATAACATTCAGAAGTTTACTTCGAAACTTTATTAGAAAAAAAGTTATTGGAGATAGAGATTTTTTATAACTCAAATTTAAACATTTAATAAAAATTTTAGAAAAATACTTGTCCAGATACTCTTTTTTATTTTTATAGTTAAGTTTCATTAAATATAAAGTTTTTAATTTAACCTAAACATATAATAATACCCTTAATAACAAATTAAAAAATTTAGTGAGCCTATTTTTTTTGTCTAATTTTTTTTTAACTTTAGATAAAAAGTTGATGATTTACAATGCTATAATTTTAAAAGGTTTATTCTACCTATTTTCCTAAAGCCCCACAAATTTAAACAGTTAATATATATTTATAAA